GACAGAGTGAGACTCCGACTCAAAAAAAAAAAAAAAATCCAGGTGGCTCCCTCCCCACCCGGGACCACCAAAAGGGGAAATGCGACCCCAACACTGGACCCTCAGACCCTGCCCTGGCCCAGGGACCACCTCTCCTGCCAGGGGGTGACCCTTGAAGCTCCAGGAATTTTGATTTTTTTTTTTAAATGTGGCCTGGAGCAAAGTAATCAGCAGGACAGTGATGTCAGCACGCTGATTTCATCAGAAACATGTTTTGCTGGTCGCTGGTTTTGCTGTGTCTCGGGATGCCTTGCCGGTGGCTGTGGGCACTCATGGAGCCATTTTTAACACCCATTTTTCCACTCTGTGTGGGGCCTACCTTCTGCGCTGGGCTGTTCAAGTTCTGGTCCTTTCAAAGCCATTTTTCATGTATGAGAATGAAAAGCAGGGGAGAGGGTATTGGCTTTATTTTGATCTGATCGTCCTGACCCTCAGAAGGGTGGGGCTGGGGGTGCAGGGGAGGAGCCCGCAGGGAGCCCCGCACTGAGCCCGCTCTGTCCTGACAGCACCTGCAGCTGGTCCGGCAGGAGATGGCTGTGTGCCCCGAGCAGCTGGGCGAGTTCCTGGACTCCCTGCGCCGGTACCTGCGTGGCACCGCTGGAACAGGAAACTGCTTCCAGTGAGTGAGCGAGGGGGGCGGGACGGGCAGGGGCTCTGCCTGGTGGTGGAGGGACAGGATGGGACCAGCCTCATCTTGGAGGCCATCTCACACCCCGAGACACGCATAACTGGGTGGAGAGGACAGTGGGGCTCATGTCTGCCTCACAAACCTGGAGCGTGCCTGTAAAGCGGGCTACTTGCTGGGGTCGGCAGGAGTGTAAAAAGAATCACATACTCACTCGGTATTAGCTGCTGCTGGACGCGTGAGTGACACTGGCCCGGCGTGCAGTACGTGCACAATGAACTCAGGAAGGATGGAGAGCAGGTGAGGCCAAAGAAAAGTGTCCAGGACACAGCAGCCACCAGCCTTTTCCTCCTCCCTCAGTCTGTGCTGAGATGCCTGCCTGGTCCCTGGGACCTGTGTTGCTCCCAGCAAAGCTGAGCTGGGCAGCTGTGGCCACAGCTGATGGGTCTGTAAAAGGTGACAGCCCTGGACCCTTGCTGGTGGTGGTCCCAGGGGGCTGTTGGCCTGAGCCCCAGACTGTCTCTCCCCATCTCCATGGCCAGCCCCCAGGATCCTCAACTGTGTCCTGGGACTGAACAAGCTCGGTACCCGTCCTCTGCTATATCTGTCCTTTACCTGGAGAGTACATGTTCATTCACCCCATTGCCTGGGGCCTGACTGTGCACCCTGGGGACACAGCCATCTCCTGGGACACAGCCCCAGGCGGGCAAGGTGGCTTCTCCAGCTGAACCTTTATTCCTGGTGGGCAAGAGGCAGTCAGAAGAGGATTCCAGCTGGTGAGGGGCTCTGTGCAGACACCCTGGGGAGAGTCTGCCATACTCCGGGGGCCTCCACAGGCCGAGGCCTGAGTGAATGCTGGGAATACCAGGGGTGGCCGGTGCCGAGAAATGAAGGATCCACCGAGGGCCGTGACAGAGGAGGTGAAAGTAGCCGGAGTGGCTGAGCGGTGATCTGGGGTGGGTGACAGGACCCCCTCCTGCCCCATAGGATGGACCGTACTGGACACACAGGGGCGAGATGTGGCCCCCTCTCTGTTATGAGAAGGACTGGGGGAAGTTCCATGGTCAGAGAGGCGGTGGGAGTGGCCTTGGCCTGGGTGGGGGGGCGAGGGAAGGTTTGAGCCAGTGGCTGTGCTGTGGTGTGGATGAGGGTGTGGGGTGCTCTGAGATGCTTTGGCTCCCAAGACTCCCTGTAGGATGGTGTCATTGACTGAGCCCATGATGGGGAGGAGGCAGGTGTGTGGGTGGGGGAGTCACAAGCAGGTGAGGTCGGAAGGAGATGCGTATTTTGGGGCCACTAGATGAGTCTGGAGTGCTGGGTGGGATAGGAGGCTTGGCGTGCAGAGGGCGCTTATGGTCACACGGCAGTGTGCTCCTGGTGGGAGGGACGGACATAGGGAGCCCAGCCTTGGGCCACATCTCCCAGCTGGGTGCTGCATCCTCCACGCTGAGCTCTGGTCACCCCTTTTCTGTTACCTTGGCCTCCCTCGTTGTCCTGTGTTACCTGCACACAGGGCGAGGACTGTGTGGTGTATCTGCATCCCAGGGCACACACAGTATAGCTTCCAAATCTGTTTGTTGAATGACTGCATGTCCTCACTGCACCCTGAGCCTACCTGCCTGGATCTTCCCGCCAAGCCAGAGGCTGCCTCCCAAAATAATGAGCAGATGCCATCACCAACTTAGATGAACCAAGTTGCTTGTGGTGACCTTTGCCAGCTGACGGAGGGAGACCTGGAAGAGGCATCTTTGCCGCCTGGTGAATGGCCAGGGTTGCGTGGATGAGCAAGCCACGGATGATTTTGGCCTGGAGCACAATGAACTCTGGGATGATTCGGACCTTCTGCCCCGGCTTCCCACCTGGCGGTGGAACCTGGAAGTTCCTGTAATTACCCAGCAGATCACAAACCACCACGGCAGGGGCGCCAGGGCAGGGGCGCCAGGAGGCTGGAGTTTGGTGTCCCTGAGCATGTGAGGCAGATTGGGCGAGACCAAGGGAGCAAGGGAGTGTCAGGACGTCACTTGGAGGGTACCCTCCATCACAGATTGCCACAAGTTCACAGAGGCAGCCCCTTGAAGGGCTTCCTCTCTCACATCCCCAAGAGTCACGGAGTGTCTGCCCCATTTAAAACAAGGTGAGTCAGGCGTGGTGGTGGTGCCTGTAGTTTCAGCTACTCGGGAGGCTGAAGCAGGGGGATCCCGCGAGCCCAGGAGGTCAAGGCTGCAGTGAGCCATGAGCCTGGGCCACAGAACCAGACCCTGTCTCTTAAAAAAAAAAAAAGTAAGTGGCAGGCCCTGGGTCGCACAAGAGTGATTTGGGACTTGCCTGGCCTACAGCCTTTTTAACCCGGGGCAAAGACATCCCTCAGCCTTAGTTTCTTCCTCTCAGGCCAGGTTGGGCCCAACAGAATTGGGGTAAGGATTAAAAGGACCGTGATTAGGAAGGAGAGCTTGGCAGGAGGAAGGTGCTTTGATTTTTTTTTTTTTTTGAGTAGGAGTCTAACTCTATTGCCCAGGTTGGAGTGCAGTGGCATGCTCATGGCCATCACAACCTCGACCTACTGGAGTCAGGTGATCCTTCTGCCTCTGCCTTCCAAGTAGCTGGAACCACCATGCCTAATTTGTATTTATTTATTGTAGAGATGAGGTCTCACCAAGCTGTCCAGGCTGGTCTCGAGCCCCTGGGTTCAGGCAATCCTCTTGCTTCCACCTCCCAGAGTGCTGGGATTATAGGCATGAGCCACCGCACCCAGCAGATGCTTTGATTTTTAACGGTGGGGTTTTTTAATGAATGTGAAGCCTTTTCACATGACATTTTATTATGATTCCATCGCAGGGACCAGACCTTGTTCTGGGGGCAGGTCCACAGCGTTGAAACAGGCCCAGTGGCTTGTTCTGGAGACTCCGTGTGGTACCCGGGTGCTCACCTTCCTGGACGCCCCTGCTCTGGTGATGCCAGCTTCTGCCTGGCTCGGAGGTCGCCCAGTCCAGACTTGTTCAAGGGCAAGGTGGGAGGAAGAGAGGTTGAAGGCGGCTAATATGTGTCCATGGGTCCCCTGTGTCCTGGCTTCCGCTGGTGGCCTCATTTACCCACAATCTCCCTGCCTGTCTCTGTTGCAGCATTGCTGCTGTGAGGCTGTCGGACGGCTTCACTTTCGTCATCTACGAGTTCTGGGAGACGGAGGAAGAATGGAAGAGGTGGGCACAGCCCCATCCCCACTCCAGGCCAGCAGCTGTTGGTCAGGGGATGGGGGGCGGGCTGAGTTCCCTGGCCCCTTTCCTTGGCCTTGGAGGGGACGGTAGGCAGGGTTTCTTGGGAAGTGGTGAGACCCCAGTCACACTCGGCTGGGCTCTTTTAAGGCAGGCTCCCAGGCAGCCCAAGCCCCACCAGGTCTCAGCATCTGACACCAAGGCTGCTGTACACTCATGTGTGAAAGTCACTGTCCATCCCCAAACCCTCCCAAGCCCCACCCATTCCAGCTTACCCTTCATGGTCCAGCTCAAGTGCCCTCCTACAGGAAGCCCTTCTGACTTCCCTAGCGTTTCTCTGTGTCCCCTAAGGCACCTTGTCCTCCTTGAACTACTGTTGTGGGCAAGGGCTCTGTCTTACTTAATATCTTAGGGAGAGCTAAGCCTGACACAGGAAGGTAACTTAATATTCACATGACCAGTTGCTCGATCGATCAGTCTTGCCAATGGCCCAGTGGGAGCTTAGGAAGGAGGCTGACGGTGTGGTAGTCGGGAGGCTGCTGTGGGTGGTCACCATGAAGCTCAGCCTATGGCCCCGTCACCGGCTGGGAGCATGAGCTGGGCAAGCTGCCCCCCGCCCAGCATGGAGGCAGGACTGTCTTCACGATGGTCCCAAGCCTTTCTTATTTGCTGGACACCACCCAGTCCCTTCAGCCCTCGTTAGCTGGCAGGAAGGGGGGTTGTGGGTGGCTATGAACCCCCCACCCCACCTCCCCGGTAAATACTCACGGTTTGCTGACAGACTGAGGACCCCAGGAGGGTGAGGGCTTGGGGGTTGCTGTGACGTGTGAGAGGCCCAGGGAAGGACTCTGGCTCTTTCCTGGTTCCCACTTCACTGCCCCTGGAAACAAGGCACTAAAACCCCCTGAGGCTTCAGTACTGTCATCTCTCCAAGGTGGGGACTTTCTCCTCCTCCTGGGCAAATCAGGAGGTGAAACCTCCATGCGTGGAGGCCGGTCCCTGTCCCCAGGGCAGGCAGACAGCAGGACAGGGTGTGTGGCCACTGGCCTCAGTTCAGGAAGGCCTTCCTTGGAGGATGCTTCCTGGGGGAAAGAAACCAGCTGCTCTCCCCTGAGATCCTGGCCATTGGCCTCCCAGGGCCCAGCCTTGTCCCCCCAAAGGCCCAGACTCCCAAAACTGGCAGCTTTTAAGTTCCCCATTCCGGTGGGGCTTGGGTTGGAATTGGGCCCACACCCAGGAGCTCTGGGACGCCCTCCCCAGCCTACTGCATCTCCACAGGCACCTGCAAAGCCCCGTGTGCAAGGCGTTCCGGCATGTCACAGTGGACACGCTCAGCCAGCCTGAGGCCCTGTCCAGGATCTCGGTGCCAGGTAGCGGCAAGGGTGGGGCCTGGGGTGCGGGCTGGGGAGGGTGCACCCATCTGTACTACCAGCAGGAGTGGTGGCCGTCTCCAGGCAGAGACAGATGCCTCAAGAGGAGGGCAGCAACCCCGGTCAGCCCATGGGGCCACGCCAGATGCCAGGGCCCAAACCTCCCACCCAATCTCCTGCTCACCCAGCAGGCAGGAGTCACGGTCCAGACGGGAGCCCTTGACTCCTACACCAGCTGTGCTGAGAGGGTCCTAGAGATGGGGGAGCACAACGGCTGATACCACAGCCGCAGGGCGGCCCTTCTGCCACGGAGCCCCCGCGCAGATCCCAGAGATGGGCAGAGACTCAGAGATGAGACGGCAGGGCTGGGGACAGCAGGGAGGAGACCTGCACGTGCTGGGGACCCTGAGAGAGGCCCAGAGAGTGCCCTCCCCACCAGCAGGCCCCGAGAGCCTCCCCACTCACCCTCACTGCCAGGCTGAACTTCCCCTCCCGCGACGGATCCAGGTGACACCCAGAGGCCCAGCCCGTCGAGCTGGCTTCTCTCTCCCAGGCATCAGGCCAGCCCCGAGCTCCTGCCCACCCCTGGAGCTGCTCCTGTCGCCCCAAGGGAAAGGACCGGCCTGTTCCCAATACCGCCAACGCCTCTCCCTCTGTTCCTCCAGCTGCGTGGTGCACTATGGGCCGAGACTGACCGTCCACCGCCGAGGCCTGCGAGGAGCTGCCCCTGCCCCTTCTTCTTGTAAAGGGCATCTCCCCTTTTCTAGAAACTTCGGTATGTGAGCTGTCTTTTCAACTCGCTCCTCCACGAGAACGTGCCTCCCCGCCCTGAGACGTGCCAGGTCCCCTTCCGCCTCCCCAAGCCCCCCGGGGCTGGCAGAGCAGCGGCTGTGCTGTCGGGTCCTGCAAGCCAGAGGCTGGGGTGACAGGGGCTTCTGGGAGCCAGCCCCCCCCACATTCCCAGCCTCTCCCCACCCCTTAGACAGCCACGCATGCCCCACCCCCACTAGGCCTGGGCCTCTGGCCTCTATTCCAACTGCTGAGGCCCAGCAGGACTCGCCCCTGCCAGTGCCACTGCTCTGTCCCCGCCTTCCCTGTGGACCTCCCTCTACCTGGTAGAGCCGCGACCCCGTAGTGCCCAACCCAGGCCTGGGCCGGGCCCGCGTGTGGCAGTAGACCCCATGTAGCCAGTGTCCGGAGAGGCTGGCGGCCACCGCAGGCACAGGCACCAAATAAATGCTGGTTGGGAACGGCCGTGTGCTGTGTTTGTTTCTGGTTTTCTAGCGAGTGACAACGGTCGGGGTGCATGGGGCCCTGGGTGGGATCCAACCAGGATGGCCCTTTATTTGCTGTGAAACCTTGACCAAGCCTCCCCCCGAGCCTCAGTATTCTAATCTGTAAAATAGAGGTGACAGCCACTCTGCGGGGCAGGTATTCTGACACACAGGCTCAATGCGTGTTGCAAAGTCTGGGGGGACCCAAGACCACCCTTAGGTTCAGCACCCACTGGAAGGATGCAGCAAAGTTGTCACCGTTGCAGTTATGGTTTGTGACAACAAAAGGACACAGACGAAAATCAGCAAAAGGCAGAGGCTCATGGGGCAGGGGCCCAAGGAGACCAGGCATGGAGCTTCCAGGGACATCGCAGGGACAGCACCTCACGCACCCAGCAACACCGTGACAGCATGCACGGCGCACTGCCAGTCAAGGAAGCTCCCCTGGGCCTCAGTGTCCAGATTTTTTGTCAGGGCAGGTCATGTGGGTAGGTGTCACAGCCAGCCTTGGCCTCCAGTCCCTCCAGAGCTCAGGCTGACACTGCATGTCCAAAGACCCCACCATAAATCTCACCATTAGCTTAGGCTGACTGGTGTGGCCCAGGCTCAGGTAAACAAAGACATTCTTGGGCCAGGTACAGCGGCTCATGTCTGTAGTCCTAGCACTTTGGGAAGCTGAGAAAGGAGGACTACCTGAGCCCAGGAGTTTGAGACCAGCCTGGGTAACACAGCAAGGCCTCATCTCCACAAAGAAAAAAAAAGAAAAAGTTAGCCAGGTGTGGTGGTACACACCTGTAGTCCCGGCTACTTGGGAGACTGAGGTGGGAGGATCGCCTGAGCCCAGTAGATGGAGGCTGCGGTAGCTGTGATTGTGCCCCTGCACTCCACTCCAACCTGGGCAGCAGAGTGAGACCCTGCCTCAAAAACAAATGAGTAAAAAACAAAGATACTCATCAAGGACCTAGCGGTGACCTCCCAGGAGCCGAGGGCACAGGCCAGCTCTCCCTGGGCACAGTTCACCCTTCACAGCTATCAACTAGCTATTCCAGCAAGAGGGGAGATCAAGGTTCTGAACCTGAACTCCTGTCCCATTCTGTACGCTCTGTCACGCCCTCTCTTCTATTCCTCAGTCCTACTCAACAGGAAAGAGTCACACAGAAGTTCAGAGGACGAGGAAAAGGAGAGGACAGCGGGTCCCTTTCCTGAGCCAGGACAGACAGGAGGACAGCGGAGGAGCAGCCAGGACCTGGGGAAAAGGGAGGGGGAGGGCAGTGCTGGTCTGTTCCAGGGAAAGGCCGGGGCCACCCTGGCAGGGGCCGGTGGGGGCCCAAAGAGACAGCACGGGTGTCTCCCCACCACCTGCAGCAACCAGCCGGTGAAACATGCTGCCCACTGTTCTTCCCCGGCCCTGGCTGCTAGAGCCTCGAAGCCCCTGTCCCCATAGCAGGTCCACCCTCTCCTCAGTCCCACCACCTCCCTGCAGACATCAGCTGCTCACGCAAAACCAGTGGAACACAACACGGCTCGTCGAGTGAGAGGGGGTCACGCCCATCTGGACACCTCCAGGCTGAACATCCCTGCACCAGCTGCGTGGAACCCTAGGTTTTTGCTTTTTGCCTTTTTTTAGGAGACAGGGTGTGACTCTATGGCCCAGGCTGGAATGCAGTGACACGCTCACGGTTCACCGCAGCCTCGAACTCCTGGGCTCAAGGGATCCTCCCACCTCAGCCTCCTGAGAGGCTGGGAGTACAGGCATGCACCACTGTGCCCAGCCTCAGCCTCTGTTTTCCCCTCTGTACGTTGGGGAGACGACCTCTCCTTTGAAGGGTCGGGTGTCACTGCCTGGCTCACGAGGACATGCCAGCTCCGGCTGCAGGATCAGCGGATGTAAGAGCCGCCCCCACCTCAGGCTGCCTTTCCAGCCAACTCAGCCATGTTAAGAACAACACTCTTGGGGACCGAGGCTCTTTAGGGTTCAACTGAGGAACTCTGGGTGGCCGGGTGCGTTTCCTCCCACATGTCACGCACCTGCCTGAGCCCTCTCGGCTGTGGCGTCTCTGCTGATTGCAGCCCATGAGTGCTTGGAGGCTTCAGACCCTCCCCAGAATCCGGGGTGGGTGGCATGGGCTCTGGAGAGGACACATGCCACCCTGAAAGGGTGAGAGCTCCCACATGACTTCTACTTCGAAGCCAGGCATGGAGTTAAGCACTTGTCAGACACCAGCTCTCTTGAGGCTCACGATGCCGTCCTGTGTTCGGCGAGTGGAGAGACTCAGAGAGGGCAGGTAACTCGCCAGAGGCCACACAGCCACTAAGTGGCTCAGGACAGATCCAGACCCAGAGCTACTTGTGCCCATCCTGTGCCCAGCCACCGTGCCACACGCCGGAACGGCTCCGGGCTGATCCGCTAAGATCAGAACCAGTTTCCTCAAAAAGCTCAACCCTGGCCCGGCGGTTTCGCTCCCAGGCATACACTATACCCAAAGAGGCGAGAGGCCTTCCAGCAAGTCACCATGTGGCAGTATGCATGGTGGCGCTCCCCACAGTGGCCAGAAGGTAGAAACAAACTGAATACTGTCAGCTGGCGAATGGGTCAACAAAACATGGCCTGTCCACACAATATTATTTGGCCCTGAAAAGGGGTGAATCACTGACACGCTGCAGTCATGGACGGACCCTGAAAACACAGTGCTACGTGAGAGGAACCAGACATGAAATACCATGACTTGCATGACTTCATTTACATGGAATGTCCAGAATAAGCAAATCCTGGAGACAGAAACAGCTTAGTGACTGCCTGGACAGGGGGAGGGGAAGGGGCGGCTCGTGGGTATGGAGTTTTCTTTGGGGTGATGGGAATGTTCTGGAATGAGATGGAAGTGGTGGCACAGCACTGCGAGTGCTAAATGCCACTGAGTCATGTACCTTAACGTGGTTCATTTCATATTATACGCACTGCACCTCAATATTTAAGAATCGCAATCACCTTCGATGTGATTGGCAAAGGGTCCCTGAGCTTCCTGGGAGCCAAGGGGAAAAGGGAAATATGAGGATACACGGGCTTACCCACAAGCAGGAGAGCATACCAGGAGGGAAGTGGACCATCCCTAAATGCTAGAAAGAGGTGGGGGGGGAGCTCTGTAAGGGTGACCGAATATCACACAGGGACAAAGTTCACCACTCGCATTCAGTGGGCAGATCTACGTCTTTGCCAGGTCCTGTTCCAATCCAAACTCCCATGGGTGGTGGCAGAGGCCATCCTGAGGTGGAGGCAGGATTCTCCTGAGGCACTTGGGCCAGCGCCTCCCAGGAGCTCCTGCAGCCCCCAAGGCTCCGAGCAGGAGCACAAGTCACTTGCACTACAGAGTGTCGCTTGGCCATGTTCCAGGAGGTCACATGAGACACACGGATCTCTTCACCCAAGCACAGGTGTCCCCCTTGACTGACAGGCCAGGCTCTGGGCCAAGGGCTCTGCAAGTGACCTCAGCTCTTCCTCACCTGTCCTGGCCACCCTGGGAGGGCGGGGCTGTCCTCAGCTTCATCTAGAGGACGACAGAGGACCGAAACCTTGGGCTGGAAGGAAGGGGCCCAGAGAGAGGACACCAAGGCTGGGAATGGCCCTAGTGGGGGGTTCCCATGTCAGCCACCTGGGGACAAGGACCTTCCAGAGGAACGGGCTTGCCAAGGCCAGCGGTGGCAAGTGGACAGAACATTGACTCAGACCTTGCAGAGCGGAGCCCATGCCGGGAGCCCCGCAGATACTTGCACCTAAGGACGAACTTCGGCCCCTCCTGCAGCTGTTGCAAAAACCTGAGGGAGCCACTGAGCACTTGGGCAGGACCATCCATAAGACACTTCAGACTGCAGAGGGGACAGCACAAGACTACACCCTGGCATGACAATGGCTGATCTGCACCCAGTCACGTGAGGGTCACATCTGTACCTGTCACAGAATCGAGATGGAAACCTTTGTTCCCATGGTGATATTCAGCTCCCCTTACAGAGCCCCGCGCATGCCTCTTCTCAGACATGGCGCCAGGCTGTCCCTCCGGCTGTGTCCTCCGGCTTGAGGGTGAGCTCTTGCATGTCCCTTTTCCCCTTGGCTCCCAGGAAGCTCAGGGACCTCTTACCAATTACACTGCAGATTTGATGGCAAGAAAGCTACCACTGCTGGGGTGCCCATTGCGTGTGAGGCACGCCACCAGCTGCTGTAGGCACACCATCACCACTGACCCTCCAGGAAACCCATCTCAGATACCACGAGCCTGCCCCGGTTTGCTGGCAGGGAAACTGTTTCTTAGAGAAGATTTCCTAAGGCTTTGATGGCAATGGTAGAACCAGTGTTCAAAGCCCACAGTCAGCTCCAAAGCCAGTGCCCACACGGCCCCTCTGGGGCAGGCTCCACCCCCACGCTCTGGTGTTCTAGGACTCTCCATGCACAGTCCTGTCACAGCCACTTCTTGGCCAGGGCCGCAAAGGCTTGCAGGAAGCAGAGGGGTGTAAACAGTAACTGAGTGGCCATGCCGCCTTGTTACTCACTCTAGGGTAAGAACTACCCCTTTTTTAGTGTGTATGTTGGAGTCTCACTCTGTCACCCAGGCTGGAGTGCAGTGGCGTGCTCACAGCCACCGCAGCTTTGGCCTACTGGGCTCAGGCAATCCTTCCACCTCAGCTTTCCAAGTATCTGGAACTACAGGTGTGCGTCACCACGCCCAGCTAATTTTTCTTGATTTATTATAGAGATGAGGTCTCGCTAAGTTGCCCAGGCTGGTCTCGAACCCATGGGCTCAGGCAATCCTCTCGCCTCTGTCTCCCAAAGTGCTGGGGTTACAGGTGTGAGCCACTGCACCTGGCTGAAAAACACCCCATGAAAGCCACCTGCCTGGCACACATCCCAGTTCCCGCATGAGGTATGTCCAATCACAATCGGGAAGTCAGGGAGGGCTTGGAGGAAGGTCTTGGGTCCCCCACAGGGTGAGCATCTACACCGGCAGCCATCTTGCCCCTCCCTTCTGCAGGCTGGAAAAGCACCCCCTCCTGCTCTGCACCCCCACACCCCACTCTGGCCCTTCCTCAGCATGGAGTGTGGCATGGAAAGGAGCAGGTCAGTTCTGATCTCAGCTCTACCTTGCAGGACAGGCAGCCTGTACTTTTCCCAGCCTCAGTGGCCTCATCTGCACAATGGGCACATCTGAAAACATTTTGCTAAGCCAAAGACCCCAGGCGCAAAGGCCCTCGTGTGGTGTGAGCCTGTTCATGGGGAATGTCTAGAACAAAGAACCCCAGAGAGCCTGAAGGCAGACTCGTGGGGACAGGGCCGAAGGAGGGAGAGACGAGTGACTGCTGACGGGGACCCGCATTACTTTGGGGGTGATGGAAACATGCTGGATTTAGACAGTGGTGGTGGCTGCACAGCTCTGTAATATATTACAAGCCACCAAACTGTCTGCTTTAAAGGGGTGAATCTTTATGGTATGCGAAGCATCTCTCAGCTTTCAAAAATCATGCATGTGGACGAACTGAATAAAACAAAAAGCTAGCCTGTCACTGCCAACCTCACAGTTGGTCACGTGCAGGTCACACCACAGGGCAGCAGGAAAAGCCTGGCCTGCTGCCGACCTGAGGAAGGCATCCCCGAGTGCCAGTCCCCTCTGCTGGCTCTGGCACTGCTGACTTCTAGGAACATCCCTAGGCAGAGGAGAGTGGCCTGGACCCACAAACGTCCAGAGTGCTCCCGGGCTGTGCAGGGTCAGTGCCAGGGTGACCATGGGCACAGGCGCCGCAGCCAAATGAGCGGCCGAGGAAACAGGAGGTGGTCGTTTCTCCAGCATCTTCATGATGAAAGGAATGACGTCAGTCTCCCGGCAGGACACAGCAGCTGCCTGGTCCCCTGTGGAGGCCTGCTGCCTGCCCGGCGCCGGCGCCCTCAGAACAGCTCCCAGACAGCCGCCGCTGTGCTCTGCCCAAAGATGAAGGTGCCCACCAGCACGGAGACCACGCCCCAGGCCTCCAGGCAGCACCTGCAAGTTAACCAGACCACATCAGCTCAAGCGTCTCTGGATTCTTTGCACAGACAAGCCAAACACACCCAGAACACTTGTTTTTGAAGCCCAGTGGAGTCCACAATTTGGAGAAAATTCAGAGCCTTTACCTGTAGGACTGGCCTCCCAGACGCTGCAAAATAAGTACTCGGGCAATTTTCAAAGCCTGGGTGCCCATATCCCCAGCATTTTGGGAGGCCAAGGCAAGAGGATTGCTTGAGCCCAGGAGTTGGAGACTAGCCTGGGCAAAATAGTGAGACTGAGTCTCTACAAAAATTCAAAAAAATTAGCTGGGTGTGGTGGTGCTTATAGTCCCAGGTGCTTGGGAGGCTGAGGCAAAAGGATCACCTGAGCCCAGGAGGTTGAGGTCGCAGTGAGCCGTGATCCCAGCCTAGGTAACATGAGACCCCGACTCAAAAAAAAAAACCCTCTCCCCCACCTGTTACTTCTTCACCTCATCCCTCCCAGTATCTTATCAAGAAAAGTCCCCACCTTTCTGCTCCTTGGTGTCTGATAGAACCCCTAAAAGTGAGGGAGGAGACGGAGGCTCTAAGTTGCACGCTGGGAACGAGGACGGGAGGCAGAGGAGGCTGGGACTGGCAGCCACCGAGGCCACATTTGCGAGCTCCATCGTGCAGCCAGAGACGGGGGCGACGGCAAAGCCAGAGTGATAATAAGATTCCCACCCAGCAGCAGGGCCACCAGAGACATTCCTGGCCCCATTAGCAGAGGCCAGGACGATCGGTTGTCATGGAGGAGCGTTTATTTCTACCGCTCAGTGGCTGCTCAGCCTGGAAACATCCCATCATGGGTGGGCCGTGGAGCCAGTGTGCCTGGGGCTGTAGCCGCCTCAGGGCGGCATAGGTGGGTCAGGACGGTGGCAGTCTTAGAAACAAAAATGTCTAGAAATCTCACCAGTCAAAACTGTTGTGAGCTTGGATCAAGGGACAAGGCAGAAGCAGGAAGACACCAAAGAGCCCTCGGAGCCAAACCCCTGGGCGGGGGGTCAGACATTCAGGTCTGATTCTATGACCAAGACAGGCTTAGAGAGACACAGAAAAGCCATCCTCAGGCCTGAAGGGAGCCATGTCAGCCCCGCTCCCACTGAAAGGCCAAGCGTGGGCTCAGTAGGGGTGGAGAACAGGGAACACAGGGCACAGAGCATCTGTGGTGGTCTGAACGGTGGTCCCCAAACGCACGCCACCCCACAGCCTGAAAGCGTGGTCTTAGGGGAAACTGGGTCTTTGCAGATGTAACTGAGAGATTTTGAGAAGAGATCTTTCTGGGCCAAGGTGTCCTTATGAAAGAGAGGCAGAGGGGCATTGGAGACCCAGAGACAGGGAAAGGGCCACACAAAGACAGAGGTGGAGGTTGGAGTGAGGTAGCCACAAGCCAGGGGACACGTGGGGCCAGCAGAAGATGGAAGTGCCTTTAAGAGTGCTGCCCCGCCGACACGTTGATTTCTGACCTCCAGAACTGTGAGAAAACAGTTTCTATTGCTGTAAGCCCCCTAGTTTGTGGTGATTTGTTATGATGACCCTCCAAAACTAATGCATTCCTTTACTGTTTCAGCCTTGTTTTCATAACTGTGGAATGGGAACAAGAGCCACTCTAGGGTGCCCCAAGAACTGGTAAGGTACATGGCGCATGCGTGTGCATTCTTTTTCAGAGGGGTTAGACTGAGCTGCTCAGCGCCCAAGTCCAAGGTCTCAGGCAGTCTGAGTTACAGGCTGGCCCGTAGGAGGAAGATGGTTTGATAAATACTTGGTGAACAAAAACATGAGTCAAATCCTCTCGTCTCGTGAGCAATGTGTGTCAGGAGGCGGCCAGGCACAGGACCTGGGCTGCGTCCCAGCTCTATCCTAACTAGTCCCCTGGGCCCTCCCCACCTGCAGGATGGGGACATCTGGATATGGTGGGGGAAGCACGTGGAAAGGGGCCCAGGTGATGCCCAGCACAGAGAAACCACCAAGCAAGGACCTGCTGCCATGACGTCTGGCCAGCCCCAGGGCCTCCGTAACTCAGGTCCAGCCTGCACCGTCCTGCCCGGAGACTGAGTCGGGCAGTGGGGAGGGCAAGGATGCCCCGCTGGGGGCCTGTGGGGGTTGCAAAGACCCCAAAGCCACACGGAGTCCCAGCCACAGACCCTCAGAGCAGAAGGGAAGGCCAGGGCAGGACAGCAGTGGGCTCTCCAGGGTCCCCCGGGGCACACCCAGGTTGCCACTTCATTCTGGGGACACTTACTTGACTCTTGGTCCTACAGGCTCGATGCCCATTGCACAGATGAGGCACAAACCTGCAAAGGAGACTCAGGGTCACCTCTCGTTCATTGTGCTCAAACACAAAGTAACCAAGAGCCCCCGAGGGCAGCCTCAGGGACCCAGGAGGCCAGCATGGCATCGCCTGAGGGTGCTCCCGGCTCAGGCCCCCAGAGAGGCGGATGGGGGTCCACTCTGGAGCTGGAAGGATGGGGTTGGAGTCTCAGCTCAACATCCCCCTGGCCACCTGGCCAGACATCTGGCTACCATGTGGCCTTTCTGAGTCCCAGTCTTTCAGGCGACTGTGAAAACATGCCTTCCGCGCCAGAGACAGTGAGAATTGTGCCCCACACCTGGGAGGAGCCCAGCAACTGGCAGCAGACATTGCTTCGTTTTCTTGTCTTTTTTTTTTTTCTTTTATCAAGTGGCTCTTTTGGGATTCAACGTCGGGCAGTTCTGCCTGAAGCTCTCACAGAGTCCTCTCCCATCCCAAACCAGTCCTGGGTGTTCCTTTCCAGTGCAGGAAATTGCCAAACCTGAAAGTTGCCACCCAAGACTGGGAACAAAATTTGAATCCCGCGGCCCAGGGAGCTGGAGAGAGGAGCCGCGTGGCTACACCCCTTCCCCTGGTTCCATCCTTTCCTCTCAGCAGAATCACATCTCATGAGCTGAAGATGACTGGGTGAGCAAACAGCACACAAGATGACTGGGTGACCACAGCAAAGAGAGCCCTTGATTCGTAACTCAACCCCCAGGAGCCCAGTCTTCCACATTCCCCGTACCTGTTAGTCTCTCTGTGGCCCTCAGTCCTTCCATCTCCCCCCAGGCTAGTGATGATGTCGCCGCCCACTTACCTGGGTCCCTGAATCACGCTTCACTTCCTTAGTCTAGTGTTGGGGAATCTGTAGGAAGCTCTGCGCGTCCTTTCTGTGAGTTTTGCCAACAGGCACCTACTTCTCGCCTGTTTGATATGGGGGCTGGGCTGGGGTATGGGGGGCACCTGGCTAAGGGTTCCCAAGCCCAGTGTTTGTTTGACACAGCTCCTCTCACAGCAGAACCAGAGTCCACTCATGGAGCACACATTGGTGGAGAACCCAAGTGTGCTGAGCACCTACTGCATGCTGTGTCCATGTACTAAGCACCTACTGCATGCTGAGCTCCCATTGTGTGCAGAGCAGCTACTGTGTGCTGCACTGTGTGCTGTACTATGTACTGAGCCCCTACTGCAAGCTGAGCTCCCACTGTGTGTTAAGCACCTACTGCATGCTGAGTGTCCCATGTACTAAGCACCTACTGCATGCTGAATGCCTACGGCATGCTGAGCTCCCACTGTGTGGTGAGCATTTACTGCATGCTGAATGCCCCCCGTGTGTTGTGTCTACTGCAAGCTGAGTGCCCCCATGTACTGAGCACCTACTGCATGATAAACACCTACTGCATGCTGTGTCCCTTGTGTGCCTATTGCATGCTGTGACCATTTGCTAAGAACCTACTGCAAGCTAAGCTCCCACTGTGTGCTGAGCACCTACTGCATACTGAGTGCCTACTACATGCTGAGCTCCCACTGTGTGCTGAGCACCTACTGTGTGCTGTGTCGTGTGCTAGCACCTACTGCATGCTGAGTCCCCCATGTGTTGAGCACCAACTACGTGCTGAGCACCTACTGCGTGCTGAGCTCCCACTGTGTACTGAGCATCTACTGCATGCTGAGCGTCCCCCTGTGTACTGAGTGTCTACTGCATGCTAAGTGCCCTCATGTGCTGAGCACCTATTACATGCTGAGCACCTACTGTGTGCTAAGTACCTACTGCATGCTGAGCGCCTACTACATGCTGAGCACCCACTGTGTGCTGAGTGTCTACTGCATGCTGAGTACCTACTGCATGCTGAATGTCCCCTGTACACTGAGCACCTACTGCATGCTGAGCACTTACTGCATGCTAGGTACTCCTGTGAGCTGTCACCTACTGAGCGTGGAGCCCTAGGACACTCTGCCCCTATAGACCTAGGGTCTCTGTTTTGGGCACCAGTGGGCCCCTGCAATGTTCCTCCAGCCTCTAGAAGCACCCCTATAACCTCAGCTTTGCTGGTTTCCCCATCTGGGAAAAAGCCGGGGCCATTTTGTCTGGACTTCTCACCATCACTCTCTAGTGCTGGGAAGGTTTCCTAAGAAACCATTGAGCAGAAATGATGCTGGCCTCCAGGGCCTGGATATTGGTGAGAGGGAGACTTTCCCAGTGTGCTTCTAACATCTTGAGCCTCAGGACTTTCATATACCTGATTTTTTTTTTTTTTTTTTTTGAGTCAGGGTCTTACTCTGTTACCCAGGCTGGAGTACCATGGCACGATCAGGGCTCACTGCAGCCTCAACATGCTGGACTCAAGCAATCTTTCTCCCCTCAGTCTCCCGAGTAACAGACCCCAGGTGCATACTACCACACTGGGCTAATTTTTTCATTTTGTAGAGACAAAGTCTCACTATGTTGCCCAGGCTGGTCTTGAAATCCTAGGCTCAAGTGTTCCTCCTGCCTCAGCCTCTGAAGTACTGGAATTATAGGCATGAGCTACCACACCTGACCTTGAAATTTCTGTAAATAAAACAATATTCCGCAGCAGAGGCAGCAGTGGCAGGGGGGACAACGCTGTGGGGTTGACTCCTAGCCCTGCTACACACTGGAATTCTCTGGGCCTTGATCTTTGCATCTGTGGAATGGGATGAGAAAGGCACATCCACCAAGGGCCGCTGAGATACTCGACAAGGCAGGGAAGACATAGAGAGGCTCTGTCTCGTGCCCAGTTCACAACCCAGACCACTACAAGGGGTCTCCTCCTTCCACATGGGGCTCCATCCTTCCAGAACTTTTGCCTTCGACCTGGGCAGTCCCACAGAGTATAAGCTGGAGAACAAATGGAAAGCCAGGAAAGCCAGGGACTCACCTGGGAAGAAGAAGATGAAGAAGGAGCTGACGCCGCCTATGATGCTGACGATCTTGCTGAGGTCGGGCATAAACAGGGCAGCGGCAAGTGTCACAGCAACCCACAGGACGGTCAGCAGCATCCGTACCCACGGCCCTGAGGCGTCAGCCGGTTCCTGGGGTCCCCAAGTCCTCCGGCAGCTCCTCCTCCAGAAGTCCTGCATCACCGACCTGGAGGCCACACCCACCACAGGCACAGGCCTCCCGGGGCTCTGGCCTGCGCCTATGGGCGCACCCCATTCCTCCCTGAGATCCGCACCTGGCAGGTGCCTGTCCCACACCCCAAGGGCTTCTTCCCAGGGGGCCTTGCCCACCCTTGGGGGGCTCTGTCACCACCAGGCAGCCCATGGGACAGGGGGTTCCAGATCTGACACTTATTCTCAGGGTGACTTTGGGAAGATTACCTAAATTTTCTGAGCCTCAGTTTCCCCACACACAACAGAGATGGCGAAGGTCCCACATGCACGAGCACATGCCTAGCACACATTAAATTGTGCCACGTGTCTGCAAGCCATGTTGAGCAGTGCCCCATGGAGCCAGGCCTCACCTCCCCAGGAAGAGCACAATGGGGTAGATGGTGACGATGGAGACAGCAAAGAGCACCCGGGCTACGACGATGACCATGTCATTGCCCGGGTAGGACATCAGGATGTCAGCAGAAACTTCTGTCCTGAAGGTCAGGAAGCCATAAGCCCCTGGTAGGGGGAAGGGAGGAAGCCAGGGAGAGAGGGTTGGAAAAATGCTGCCCCTTCCTCCCCAACAGCCTGATGTGCCTGACTTTACTACTCTAAAGTTTTCCTTGGGAGCTGATGGAAGATTCTGGAAGGGCTATTCTAAGGTTTTCCTGTTCTAAGCCTATGTGTGACTCTGCCTCTCTGACTCAAAACTCGTGCAGACAAATCTGCCACGTCACTTTCTTTAAAATCACTCGGAGTTGGTGCAAGAAGATTATTCAGAATATGTGTCAGCTGGAAGCACGAAGCACTTTGAAAAAACATAAACACACCCCTGATGCCCTGCCCCTCTCACTCTAACAACAGCTCGAGAGAGCAGCTCGCTGGGCACCCATTTTCCAGATGGGGAAAACCCTTCCCATACATGTCTTAGTGACTCCTCTAGAAATCTACTGCCCCAGCCAGATCTCTTTTGTCCTGACATTTTTTCTCAAATTTATCACTATTTGTCTAAAAAGTATAAGGGGGACCCAAAAAACCCCAAAGTTTATTTATAAAAAATTATATATTTATTCTTATATGTTTAAACTTCGGTCACCTTCAAAGTACTCCCATCTGATAGATAAACTACACCTATCGAGATGCTTTTTGCACTGCTCAAAACAGTCTTGAACTCATTGATTTTGATGACTTTTAGTGCTTCTGCTTCTGTTTTTTGTTTCACCTCTTCCATACTGGCAAAACATTTCCCTTGGAGGACTTTTGTCATCCAGGGAAACAGAAAAAGTCACTTGGGGCAAGATCTGGTGAATAGGGAGGGTAGGGCATGGGGGTCAAGCCATTTTGGGGCAAAAATTGCTGAACACTCAGTGTGGTGTGAACAGGTATGTTCATAAACCACCCATCATGAGATGGACAGACACGTTGAAAGTATCTCCCCCCCCAAAAAAAAAAAATCACTGTAACTGAAGGCAGCCTCTCACAACGACATTAGCTGGTACACTGGTGCTGATGGATTCCTAGAACACTTACCTAGCGGGGGAAGCCTGTACGCCCAGGGGCCTACCATCCAAAAGATAATTCCGGGGTTTTTTTGGTCCCCTCGGTAAAAGCACATGGCTTTGGCCACTCCTCCAGCTGTCCCTCTCATGTGAGATCCCCAGGCATGTGTAAAGCCCTCCTGTAGTGCATCACTCTCAAGTCCAGCCTTCCACAAAGCCCTCAGGAGGGACACAGCTCGGCCAAGCTCTTTGCCAGATTATTACTGGGATGGCCTTACTCCTTTCCCAACACCTTGCTCCTCAGCTCCACTGGAAGCCTTGTCAGAATGGCCTTCACTGTCCATATTTCTATCAGCATTCTAGTCACGGCCCACCTCTAAGGAGTTCCAAACTTTCCCCTGTTTTGTCTTCTGAGCCCTTGCCAGAATCCAGGCTTTTTCCTCCATTACCCAATCCAGAGCTGCTTCCACAGTTCTAGGTACTTGTGATCAGCAACACCCCACTCCCGATACCAATTTTTCACCTTAGTCCGTTTTTTGTTCATTATAATAGAATATCTGAAACTGGGTAATTTACAAAGAAGAAGAGTGTAATGTAAAAATGCTCAGCTTCACAGCTGGGCTCGGTGGCTCAGCCTATAATCCCAGCACTTTGGGAGGCCAAGGCAAATGGATTGCCTGAGCCCACGGGTTTGAGACCAGCTCGGGCAACTTGACGAGACTTTGTCTCTACAATAAATCAAAAATTAGCTGGGCATAGTAGTGCATGCCTGTAGCTCTGGCTACTTGGAAGGCTGAGGTGGAAGGTTTGCCAGAGCCCAGCAAGTCAATGCTGGCGTGGCCATGTGTGTGCCACAGCACTCCAGCCTGGGCAACAGAGTGAGACTCCAACTCAAAAAACAAAAACAAAATGCCTCAGTTACTCTCTGGACTTTTTACAGTTATAGAGGCTGAGAAGTCCAAGGTCAAGAGGTTGTGTCTAGTGAGAGCCTTCTTGCTGGTGGGGACTCTGCAGAACTCTGGGGTGGCACAGGGTGTCACATGGCAAAGAGGCTGAGCATGCCAGCTCGGGTCTCTCTTCTTCTTTTAACAAAGCCACCAGCCCCACTCCCATGATAACCCATTAATCCATTAATCCATGAATAGATTAATCCGCTCATGAAGGCAGAGCCCTCATGACCCAATCCCTCTTAAAGGCCCCACGTCTCAATACTACTACACTGGGGATTAAGTTTCAACATGAGTTTTAGAAGACACATACTCAAAACATAGCACGAAGAAATCAAGGCTGCTGGACAGATTCACCACAGACCAAGAGCTTCCTAAATCAGAGGCTCCAATGGTGGATAAAAAAAGACCACAGCAATGTGGCCAGCCATGCCCAAGACCTGGGTCTGCCTCAGATGTGCTATATGACCCTTGGCTTGCCACAGTCTCTCTCTGAGTCACTCCTTCATCACCTCTGAAGACCTCTGCCTGCCATACAGTTTGTGTTTTATAACCTGCGACCCAGATGGATCAGATCGCTGTCCGTTGACTACCAGGTAGATGAACACGGTATGTACATGCAGGGGTTTTGGAGACAACTGGGCCAGAGTTTAGAGCTCAGCTTTGCACATCCAGCTAGGAGTCCTTGGAGAAGCCCTAGAAGCTCTCTGAGCCTCTGTGTCCTCATCTATGAAACGGGTCTTTTCCCATGGATCAATACTCAGCACTGAGCCCAGCATGTGTCAAGCTCGTTAGAAATACTCATTGTTATTCCCATCTCTATTACCACTCCCTACCCACCTCCAGGTGCCCCAGAAAGGGCCTCACCTGTCAGTGAGTAGACGAGGCAGCAGGCTAGCAGGGACAGCACGGAGACCAGGGTCCAGTGGCGGAGGCTGCGGTTACGCATGCTACAGTAGATGGAAACAGCAGCTTCGTGACACTGGAAAACAGAAGTCCCGGCTCAGCTGGACTGAGGCCAGCCGAGTGATAGAGTCACCTGGAACAACTTAAAAGGCACCGGTTTAAGATGGGAAGCACCTCATATCCACCCACAGCAGAAGGCTACATAACTGCACGACACTAACAAGGACTATTACACGGCTCTGACAAAGAACAGAGGCGACCACACACCTCAGCGTGGGAGCTTCTCGGATATACCACTGACAAACGAAGCCACACACAAGAGAAGGCTTCTATCAATGGGAAGTTCAAGTTGCAAGACAAACCTAGACCAGGGTTTCCTGGCCTTGCCACTCCTGATGCTTGGGTGCTGATTCCATGTGGTGGCAGCGCTCCTATCCATTGGGGATGTCATGCAGCGTCCCTGGCCTCGACTCACTGGGTGCTGGCAGCAGCCCCCTCAGTTGTGCCCACCCAAAATATCTGCAGACACTGTCCAGTGTCCCCTGGAGTCACAGTTGTCCCACTGAGAAGCCCAGCTCTGTGATGATAGAAGGCAGGACGGTGGTTGGGTGCGGTCAGTGCTATTGAATGGTAAAGGTCACAAGGGGGTTCCTGGAGGGGGGTGACCATGAGATATGGGCACACACAAAACTATGATTTACATAGTTCATATGTAAACACCACGTTGATTGTGACATGAATTTTAGATGTTGGGTATATACAGTCAATGCCAAGAGCCCACGTGTGATGTGAATGTAATGTCTCTGGGCAGGTCCTGGGCACTGGTATCTCACAAGCAGCTGAGAGACCCTGAAACATGGCTGGGCTGAGAGGCACTGCGTATCTGGACACACCTGTGGGTCCTGGGTTCTTCCAGATTCCTGGGCATGGTTCCCACCACCATGCTCACTGGCTCACCCATGAACAAAAGCAAACATCAATACCTCCCTCCTCCCTCCCTCACTGAGCTCAGACACTAGGTCTCTCTGCCCTGCCTCAGGGTCTTTGCCCATGCTGTTCTCTTGGACGGAATTCTCTCCTGCCATCTCCTGCTCATCCTCCAAGAAAGCTCTCCCAGGCGGGGCCAAGTTCCTCGCTCTTAGGTCCCGTGTCTCCCTGTGAACAGGTACGGATTTGCCTGCTTAGTCACATGAGGGCAAGAGCCATGTCTGCCTGCCCAGGGCTCTGATGACACTCTGAGGGTCACCTACTTGTACTCACTCCTTGACCCCACCTGCATCCTCCAGGCCTTCCTCCACTCGGCCCAGCTCTCCATCACCCAACTGCTTGTGAGTCCTAGCCAGTATCAGGGATGCAACATAAACAAGCTAGACAAAGCACTCCTTGGACAACAAAACTCTGGATACCAAACACCCCCCGCCTCCTGCACACGTGTGGCACATCCAGGGCGCGTCCCACACCTCTCAGGATGGCCCAGTGAACCTGGAGCCCCGAGGTCCACAACAGAGACCCCCATGATGCTCCTCTCCTGTTCCTGAGTGGACAGCAGCACCCATAGGACGCAGGGCGTGAAGTGGGGGTTACAAAACCGCAGTTCTGTGTATGGCACACAGCTGAGCCCGAGATGGGGGAGAAGACAGTGACAAGAAGGGCCTTCCCTTTCTCCTGTTTTGCCCCAACTCTCCAGCTGGGTTTCTACTGGTTCTATGAGGAAAAGTAGCAGGCATCTCGAGGGCAGGGCAGCCCAGCTGGGCCAGCGCCTAGGAGGTGGCAGTGGCATGCAGGCTCTCCAGTATCTTGGTGATGGAAGGAGACAGAGAAAGAGGACACAGTGGCCAAAAGGTGGAAACAACGCTGGGCTTGGTGGCTCAGCCTGTCATCCCGCGCCTTTGGGAGGCTGAGGTGAGTGGATTGCCTGAGCCCGCAGGTTCAAGACCCACCTGGGCAACTTGGCGAGACCTCATCTCCACAATAAATCAAAAATTAGCCGGGCGTGGTAGCCCGTGCCTGTAGTTCCAGCTACTTGGAAGGCTGAGGCGGAAGGATCGCCAGAGCCCAGCAGGTTGAGGCGGCGATGGCCGGGAACGGCCACTGCACTCCAGTCTGGGCGACAGAGTGAGACTCCAACTCCAAAAAAAAGAAAAAAAAAAGGTGGAAACAACCAACATCCACAAAGGACAAAGGACACACAAAATGCAGCACATCCACACCATGGAATATTATTTGGCCACAAAAAAGGGATGAGGTGGTGGCACTATGACAAGGACAAACCTCAAAGACAAGCAAGTGAAAGGGCCTGCTACAGGCCACATGCCACAAGGCTCCATTCCTATGGAACGTCTGTCACAGGCAGGTCTGTAGAGACAGGATGCAGAGGAGCAGCTGCCAGGGGTGGGGGCATGGGGAGGGACTGCTGATGGGGACAGGCTTCTTCTGGGGGTGACAAAAAGGTTGTGAAATGGATTGTGGTGATAAATGCACAATCAGAATATACAAAAACCACTGCGTTGTACACACTAGAGGATGAACGCTATGTAAACTCTATCTCAAAGCTGTTTAAAAACTCCAGGAGTCCCAGTGTGGACCCTGGAGGCCAGGAGTGGACCCTGCACCCTCTGCTCCTCCGAGGCCCATTACTGACCATGCAGGCTTGGAGGGTGCCCCACTGCCGAGTATGTTTGGGGGTGGGGTGGCATTTGGATCAGCCCAGAGCTCCTGGTGACAATAAGTAACCCCTTTCCTTGATACCCTCCAGCTTGCCCCATTCCCCACCACCTTCATCTGTATTTTTCTCCCCCATTCCAGACCCCAGCGGCCCCCACCCTCATCCCTGAATGCCTGTCTTTCCCTACTGCTGCTCACAGCGCCAGCATCCGTGTCCCTGGAAACGCAGCCTAGGCTGCGGTTGCTAGGAGAACAGGATGCTGTGCCGAGGCAAAGGTGAGGGCGGCCCTTGTGGCTGAGAGCGGCTCAAGGGTCTGCCATATAGTGCTTGGGCCGGGCGGGGCTGTTCAACTAAACCCAGACAAACAGCTGACGGCAAAACCAACTCTTCAGAGCTTTCAAAATATTGGGCGTACAGGAAGCAATGTGAGAAATCTGTGACAGCCGCTGAGCCAGGAGCTGCACCGTGAGGAGGAGGGAAGGACAGTTTCAGAGCTGCTTTTTTCTAAAAAGGATTCTCCAAGAAGATGCCAGATGGACAGGGAAGCAGCTGGTGGATGGACAGGGAGGAAAACAGCCCAAGGCTATGAGTCCGAGTCACTGCTGTTAATACTGGACAAATGTCCCTGTGAACTTGGTTTTATTTTGGGACAGTTTTGTAGATGTGGGTGGGGACAGGGGTGGGAATGGGGAGGTGGCTGTATATAGGGACAAACCTTCCCAAAATAAGCAACGAAAGGCCCGCTGTCCCCTGCTAGGAAGGCTGGAGGAGCCCAAGACAGCCTGGAAGCAGGGGTGGAGCCCAGCCCTTCTCATCTTCCTCCCACTCCCACTGGGTATGGCACCACTAGGCCCTCTGCAACCTCAAAATGCGCCTGGGGCCTTCTCATCTCAGCCCACCTGTGCCATCCTCTCTACCTGGAACTCCCTGCCATCACCTGACCGCCTCCCCCATGTCCTTCAAGACCCCTTTCAGGCACTACCACCTTCAACAGGCACCTCTTAACCTGCCCCCACTGGAGGGGTTCCACGCAGAGCCAGCCTGTCTCATGTGACACCCCACTAGACATTTTGTATATTCCACCTGCTTCCTGCAGTCTCTGAGCCCCCTGTCCACTTTCTAGCCCCGTCAGCCTATGAGGCAGGACCTTTCCCCTCCAAGGCCCTGGAGCAGGTGTAACTGGAAGGGGTCTCAGGTCTCCAGGCATGTGACAGTCCTGGAGGGATTCTGCAGAGGAAGGGACAGGACCTAATCCCTATGCTCTACCCCAGACCCAACAAATGCGGAGCTGCTGTTGGTGGTGGTGGGAGCTGGATTGCCAAGTTCAAGGGCAATTCACACCTCCCTGAGCCCAGACACCAACCCACTTGCACAGTCTTGCAAGGATGGTCTGACCTCCACCCAAAACAGCCCGCAGGCCACAGTAGGCACCAGAGAGCTCATCACGTCCTAGAAACAAGGCCTTAAATTTCTCCTCAGAAAGGAAATCATGCTCTCTTCCCCCCTCCCCCCCGGGAACAGAGAGTCACCCACAACCTCGAAAATGCCACAGTCTTCAATGCAGATGCTAAAATTACCTGAAATCCAAAGCAGATGGTAGGGAAGACACTGAAGACAGAGGTCCAGGAGGAAGGGCTGCAAAGAGACAGGTGTTTTTTAAAGAAGGGTTAGATGTAAAACAACCTCCAGCCAGGGAGGAGAGTGGAGTTGAGCTCAACTGCAAGATATATGTTCAATGTGTCCATGACAAGGTTTAGGGGAATGGAAAAGGAAGCTTGTTAAATGCTGCACTTTCTAAATACATCTTTGCTGACATTTGGTGACATGACATTCTCCACGTGGGCAGAATCTGGGAACTCCCAGCTTTCCTCTTGAGGCTGTTCCCAAGGCAGTCCAGTGCTAGAGGGCACAATCAGCATCCTTCCAACAGATCCCAAATCGCACAAGGATGGTTTGACCTCCACCCAAGACACCTAAGAGGACAGAGGTATGCATGGCAGAGTCCTCAGGTCCAGCTCTCTTTGTGATCCCTGGTCTCCTGCTTCCTTAAACAAGCTTGGTAGATGTAATTAGTGAAATTAAGATAAGGTCATACTGGATTAGGATGGGCGTCACAGGAAGAGAAAACAGATACACAGAGAGAACGCCTGGTAAAGCTGGAGCAGAGGCTGCAGTGATGCATCTGCATGCCAAGGAACACAGATGGCTGGCAGCCACCAGAAGACAGAAGAGGCATAAGGGTCCCCCCCCGGAGCCTTTGGAAGCAGCATGACCCTGACAACACTTTGATTTCAGACTTCTAGGCTACAGAACTGAGAAAGAAATTCGAAGCTTTAAGTCACCAAGTGGAGGTCAACATCTCAGCAGTCCCAGGACACACACATACCCTCCTGACCACCCTCCTGTGTTTTAAACAGCTCCTCCTCACCTCCTAGGCCTCTAGGGTCATGGGCTCAGAGCACAGGTCTCGGTGCTCACAGCCTTCAGCACTGTCTCTGGACCATCAATCACGTTCCTCCCACTAGCCCAGACCTCCCACCCCAACCTCCAGACACAAAGACCTGCCAGCCACTCAACACTGCCCTGGAATGTCTCAAAGCTGTCCCTGCCTTGATGTGTCCTGGTCTGATCTGCTCCCCAGAACTCCTCAGTCCTCCATAATCCTAGAAACAGCATCTCCCTCCTTCCTGCTACTCAAGTAAAGCTTCCTGAGTCCCTGAGGCTCTGGCCCTCTCTTGCCCTCCACCTCTGACCCATTGGAAGCCCTGGCCACAGTATTCACAGGGCCTGATGCAAGAGGAACACACTGGACCCCTTGCTGGATGAGTAAATTTCAAGACAGTGAGAGCAGAGCATTAAACCAATCACGTGCCTGTGGCAACCGCACGGTCACACGCCCACAAGCCAGCCCTGCTACCAGCAAGTCTATTTCCAACATGCCCAGAGTTCACCCGCTTCTCATTGCCTCCTGTGTAGCTGCCTGGCCTGAGGCCTGGCATCTATCTGGAGCCACCCTCTGGCCTCCCGTTTCTGCCCCTGGCTCCACAGACCACAGAACAGCCAGTGCAACCTTTTTCAGGACAAAGTTCTACTGCATCCCTACCGCACTCACAATGCTGCCATGTCTCCCAGCTCATCTGGAGTAAAACCAAAGTTCTCATTGTGGTTCCAGGTTGGACACTCCTGCCCCCACTCCTGGCCCGGCCATACTGGCCTCCGTGCCATCCCCTCTGCCTGGGCACCTGTATCTGGCTGCCAGTTTCACTGCCTCCATGCTGTGGGGACAAGTTTGCAACAGCCTATGAGCTCCAGGGCAGTGTGGCCTTTGGTGACTTTGCATCCCTTGGCCTGTCCCCAGTCATCACTAGCAATGGCCACGTCCATTCTGCAGAAGGAAAGGGAACTTCCCTTGGCTTTATCGCACCAGAGACGAGGACTTCATGGAAGGAGCCGGGGCTCTGTGGCGAGCATGAGGAAATCCTCCTCTGAGGCCTCCCCAACCCCCATGCCTCCCCTGGAAGCCACCAAAAGTCGCTCCCTCAGACTCACCTCAGTGAAGGATGATGCTCCCGTACAAGTCCAGGGGGCCGAAGGTAGTACTGCACTGTCACAACCAGGGCCAGGTAGCAGGCAGCCAGGGTGCCTAGGATGCTGAACAGATGGGGACCACATGAGGGGCCTCGCAGCCGGTGACACATGTGGTCCCCGCGCAGGGACAGACACAGCAGCATCCGAATTCCAGTGCTGCCTCTACCAGCAAGGCGGCAGCTAAGCTCTCCATCTGAGTCTTGATTTCCTGATCTATACAGCGCTGGAGGCAGGGCTGTTCCCAGGCCCAGAGGTTACATGTGTGAAGCCCCTAATAATACCTAGCACCCCAGGGTTGGCAGCTGTGACTTTCTTCTTGTCAATGAAGGCCAGTCAGTCACTCGGATTTGATGCCTAAGTTAGGACACCATCGGGCTCGGCCACACCACAGAGGGGAAGAGGACCCAGCTTGCCTGCCCATGGCACAAGTGCCTTGCAGGGGCAGGGGCAGGAAAGAGGCTTGGGTTTGCTGCCTGCTGTCTCTATGAAAAGCCTGTGGTTCTTATACAACAGGGAAAACCAGGCAGTGAACTTGGATAGATATTGTCACCAAGATTTATATGTTTTTGGGTATCCATAGAGCCTCAGACCACAGGATGAAAAACAACACATCTCCTTCATCTCTGGCTTCTCTGAGCCTGTGCACATCTGCCTGTATGTATAAAAAGTCTGTAACAAAGGCTGGGCATGGTGGCTCATGCCTGTAATCCCATCACTTTGGGAGGCCAAGGAGGAAAGACTGTTTGAGCCCAGGAGTTCAAGACCAGCCTGGGCAACATAGCAAGACCTGTCCCTACAAAAAAAACCAAAAAAATTAGCTGAGCATGGTGGTGTGTGCCTGTAGCTCTACCTTTATATGAGGCGAAAGGATCACCTGAGCCCAGGAGGTCAGGGCTGCGGTGAGCCATGATTGTGCCACTGCACTCCAGCCTGGGCAACAGAGTAAGACCTCGACTCAAAAAAAAAAAGACTAAAACGTGAAATGAGGAAACGTCAGCAGCACGGGATGTTGTTCCAGGTGACTTTCTTTTTGCCTGGTTACACTTTCTATCATGGATATGTATCACTTGTACAATTTGTATTGTTTATCCCTTCTCCAAATGGGAGGGCCAGTACCCAGGCTGCTGCAATCTCAGGACAGAAACTCCAACACAGATACCAGCCAGGCCAGCTGGAAAGCATCTGTGGCCTGTACCTGGTGTACTTCTGGAAGGCGATCTCCTGCGGTGTGGACAGGGGCAAGATGATTAGCACCGAGAGCAGGGGCAGGGTGAAGCGCTGGTCGGCGTACCAGGGCCATAGGGCGGGCGGAGTGCCGGGAAGGAGGTAGTCGCACACTGGGGAGACACAGAGAGGAGCTAGGCCACAGGGTGCCAGGCGGCCACGATGTTCCAGCTCCAGCCTGGCCCTCGAACCCTGGGTGGGGCTGGACATCAGCCCTACATGAGTCCAGTGAGCTGCGGGGTGAGATGACAAGTAAGACAGCAACAGCTCGCGTGCCCCCAGGAAGAAAAGACCCAGATGCACGAATTCATTCAACAGGCGTTCGCTTGTTCTGTTCTGCTCTGGGATCCAGCAAGAACAGACCGTCTGGCTTGCGGCACTAGCATGCTGGCCAAAGACTCCCTTTGTTTCATTCAGTAACTCAACAGGTGTCTGCGGTCAAGGTGAGACCTGGAGTAGATTTTTGGTTATGATGTGGAGGGAGAGCTGGGCTGCTCTGACTCAGGGCTGTGGGTCTCTGTTGCTGCACACAACATGCCATCCCAAAATGCAGCAGCTTACAACCACCGTGTTCTCCTGTGTCACGGATTGGAGGTGAAGCTGCCCACTCCACGAGGGGTCGACTGGAGTCACTTGGCACATCTGAAGGGTCCTGGACGAGTCCTCCTGGCACCTGGCACCTGATGGGGATACTTGGGTCCTCCCTGTAGCCTGGGGGACTCTCCACGGGGACTCCCTAGCAGGCTTGTCCAGCTTCTTCCACGGCAGCTTGGGGACCCCAGAGACCAAGGTGAAGGACAAGCCAGGCCCAGGATGAACGTGGCATCCCATCTGCCACACTGTGCTGGACAAAGTCATCCCAGGACCCAGCTGATTCGAAGGCAGGGACACAGACCCCACCATCCACTCAGTGAAAGGAACACCAAGGAATCTGGGGCCATTTTTCTTCTGCCACAGTAAGAAGGACAATTTGGAGCTGATCTACAAGGCACGATGGGCTGGGGGGGCGGGGGAAGCAAAGGGGAGCTGGCAGATGGCCCGAGCTGGAGCCCCTGGAAGCCACTCAGGCGAGGGGGCCCCTGGCATCCTGCTGGAGAGTGGAGGCTGAGGTGTGCGAGGTGGCCCACAGACCACTCAGGACTGTGCATCGTGTGACACAAACCCTTCTTTGTTCTTGTCAAATATGCAACAAGGCCAGCCACGTAAAGAAATGAATGCCTGTTTCTCCTGAAGGAGTGAGCCCAAGAGAGGTCACACACAGTGGCACGTGTGGCAGTGCCAGAACCACCAAGAACACGCACATGCCTCAAGGGTGCACAGAGATGGGGAGGGGGTGCGTTTTAGACCTCCACACAGTGTAGGAGGGAGTGTAAGCCCTCTCTTTTGAGCAGGAGTCTTGCTCTATCGCTCAGGCTGGAGCAAGATGGTGTGATCATAGCTCGATCATAGCTCCCTACAGCCTCGGCCTCCTGGGCTCCAGTGATCCTCCTGCCTCAGCCACCAAAAGTGCTGGGATTACAGGCAAGAGTCATCTCTGCCTGGCCTGAGCTTTCTCATCCATCTGGACTGCCTGCAGCCAGGAAACCCAGTTCTACCATCGAGACTACAGCAGCTTCCGCCTAAACCCAACATTTCTAGGACATTCCTTGAGGTCCTCAGCACCAGTGACACAAGGTCACTTGTACTCAGCTCATGCAGTGACTTCTTCAAGCACTCCACCCTCTGTGCAGTACCTCCATCCGAGAGCTTGGGTTTGGTTACAGAAAGACGCACCCCAAACACCTTACCAGAAAGACACAAGCAACACACTCTCCACCCCAGTCAATCCGCCCAGAGCTGGGGTGGCTCATATCCTAAGCAGCTCTGTGACTAGTCGGGGTGCTCTACCAGTAAGCCTCAGAATCCTTCTGAACACAGTAACACTACCAGGTCACTATAGTTGAAACTTGAGATGAACTACTTGCCACTGTGGTCAGGGCATTTTTTGTGCCCAGTTATCCACCAGGAGATTCTGATATGCCAACTTCAGTTCTTTTTAGTATGAGACCGTGTTTACCAAGACATGGCAGCCTCTAATTTTAATATCCCACATTCAGGGGCCTTTTCATTCATGGGCCAAGAGACAGAGAGAAGAAACAAATAGCAAAATGGCAGACCTAAATCTAACCCTATCAATCATTCCATTCCAATTAAAAGTCTAAACATTCTAATTAAAAGTCTGAGATCGTCAAGTTGGATAAAAAAGCAAGACCCGACCATATGCTGTCTACGTGAAATGCATTTTAAAAACCCAACCACAGTTAGCTTCAAGGTAAAAGAATTAATGCCTGGAATCCCAGCACTCTGGGAGGCTGAGGTAGAAGGATCACTTAAGCCCAGGAGTTTGAGACCAGGCTGGACAACATAGTGAGACCTTGTCTCTACAAAAAAATTTTAAAAAATTAGCCAGGTGTGTTGGTGCACACCTGTAGTTCCAGCTACTCAGGAGGCTGAGACAGAAGAATCACTTGAGCCCAGGAGGTCGAGTCTGCGGTGAGCTATGATCATACCACTGCACTACAGCCTGGGGGACAGAGCGAGACTCTGGCTCAAAAAAAAAAAAAAGAACAAGAGAACTGCTATACAAACTCTGAAGCTGGAACATCTCTAGGTCTAGTAACAGCTGAGGAGGTAGATTCAATGCCAGAGATAAAGAATATTTCATAATAGAAGGATGTACCTAATTACAGAGCTTCAAAAACCATGAACAAAAGATGGACAGAATTAAAGGGAGAAACAGGGACATCTGCATTTAAGCTGACAACTGTAACTCCACTTTCTTAGAGATGGATAGAATATGGAAGATCTGAACAGAGTTATCGACCACCTTGACCTAGTGGACGTTTCCAGCAACACTGTAGCCAGCAACCACAGAAGATACCTCCTCTAAGAGCACGTGGAATTCTCTCCAAGACAAATCATAGATCAAGTCTCAATGGATCTCAAGAGACTGAAATTACAGAGCATGTCCTCAGACCACAATGCAATTAGGGTAGAAGCCAAGCAGGGATCTAGAAAACTCAAATAACTGGAAATTAAGGAACACAATTCTAAACATCACAGGAGTTAAAGAAGAAACCACAGCAAAAATTTAGCAAATAATTTGAATGTAATGAAAATGAAAATAGAACATGTCAAATTTGGGAAGATGCAGCCAAAGCAGTGCTCAGAGGGATAGTCTTAGTCGGAAACTAGGGGCCAAAGTTGTAGGGGCCAAGGAGTCTCAGCCAACTTAAAGGTGTTGACTATCTACCAATAGGGGCTTCTTGCTATTGGCTCCATTCCTGATGTGAAATGAGTTCTCTCCATTGGACTCTCCGGGCAGTAGATACTCCAGGGTGGCTGCAGTATCTTCCTGTCCTGTGCTGCTGATCAATTCCAAGCCTACCTCCCCACCCTGCTAGGAGTGCGTTATGGTCTCAGCCTCTGCTATTCCCTCAGGGCCCAGGCCACATCCTGCTTATCGTGTCCTATCATGTGTCTCACATCCTGCTTATCAACCAGAGGCCCCATGGGTCATTAGGGGTTCTGTGCCCTGGGTCACCCCAACTGCAACGAAGGTACTCACGCTTCTCCAGTTGGTCCCCGATCACCCTGAGGAAGGCCACGGAGATCATGAGCAGGTTGATGAGGAAGCAGACCTCGCACAGCTTCCCAATGGTGGGGCCACACAACACCCCAACCACGCTCTGGTATGTGGTCTGGCCACTGACGGCGGCAGCATAGCCCAGGATGACCAGCCCGCTGATCAGGAAGACCAAGGAGACCTGTGAAGCAGAACCTTGAATCTGGGGTGCACCCGTGGCCTGCCCATCCCCCATACCCTCCACATGGCCTCTGTCCTTAGAAGCCAGGGCTGTTGGCAGCCTGGAGGGCTCTGCTGGATCTACCTCCAGCTCCTCCCCTGCCTGAAATCAGAGTCTGACAACCTCCCTGGCTCGAAGGCTGGGACTCTGGGACTCTAACACCATCCTGCCCCAGGGGGACAAGTGAGGCCTAAGAGACCCCAAGAGTTAAACTTGCTCTCCTGAAGTCACTTGGATGGTGGGTGGGAGCTAGGGTGGAGTGGGCACAGCTGGGCTCAGGCTCTAACTCTGCTGCTTGCCTGCTGTGTGGCAGGAGACTGCCAGCCTCTGCTCTTCCATCCGTAAAATGGGGACTCCCACCAGGAGTGCTGTGACACATCAGGATAAATGCTCCAGAAATGCCGCTCTCTCTACTTCAGCTTAAGTATTTTCCCAACATCATGAGAGTTGAAAGAATCTTACTGCAAACAGATACTGTGGGTCCCCAGCCCCAGACTGTCCCAACAGGCACCTGTCCTTGCCCGACCCCATCTCCATCCGCCATCAGCCCGTCTTAATTTGGACGTACTTTGCAGCAAGATGCAGACATCAGTGTGCTTCCCCTGGGACACCCTGGCATGCCCAGCACTTATCAGAGCTGGAGGCTTTGCCACAGACTTCTTCCCTCTTGTGGATGAAACTGACATATAATGAGATACCCAGAATCACGCATGCCACTGGGAGAGGAAGGCCAAAGGCACACGTGCAACCCAGCCCCCCACCGACACACAGAACATCGCCACACTGGACATCCTGCGGGTCCTTCCCAGCAGCATCTGCCACTGTCCCATCCCCAGCAGGAACCTTGGACCGAGTGGTTTTCTACTTCACATATCTTGTACCTGGCTTCTCGCGCCCACTGTTAGCTTGTGAGTTTCCTCCGCACCATGTGAGCTGGCTAAATAGCTACCTCTGCTGACTGAGTCCACTGTACAGAGACCGTACACCGCCTGTCCCCCAGCACCTGGGACTGTGGCTTACTGGAAGCAGTTTTTGCAGATGTCAATAATGAAAATGTGATGACATGAGAAAGGGTCTTTGCTCATGTCATGAAGGATCCAGAGATGAGGTCATTTTGGACCATCTGGGCAGGTTCTAAACCCGGTGACAGGTGTCCTTATAGAGACAGAAGAGGAGGAGGCAGAGATGGGAGTCTGCAGCCACAAGCCAAGGCCATCTGCAGTCACCAGGATATGGAAGAGCCTTTAGGAGTCCTGCCATGTAGGACAGGCCTCCAGAACTGTGAGAAAATACACTTCTATTGTTTTAAGCTCCCCATTTTGTGGGAATCTGTGACAACAGTCACAGGAAACAGATACCTGCAACTGCACAATATTGAGGAGGTGGGGGTTCTCCAAGGCCCCTCTCGCCCAGACTCCAACCTCCAGGCAGATGCAGAAAACGACTGTGGTGGAAGCCATAAGTTGTGGCTGGGCAGTGAGCCATCCCTGGGACAGGGTCACCTCAAGAGGGACCTGTGCCTCTGGGCAGCAGGATAGCAAGGAGCCCTGGCTACTCACGCCAGGCCCGACCCCTCCGCAGCTCCCAAGAGAGAGTCAGTCTTATTTCCTTCAAATGTCACTTAACTTCTAGCTCTAACAGGGGCTCAACCTCCACCCACTGATCCCACAGTGCTGGACATGTCTCAATGCCTCCCGTGCAGAAGCCTCACTGGCTAAGAGGCTCCCCCAAGTCTTCCTTCTATCACTCTGGCAGCACCCACCAGCCCTGCTCCCACCTCCCTGGCACCACTTGGAAGGGAGTTGCCAACAGCCAGCCAGCTCTTTCCCCCGGTCTGGAGTGTTCTTTTCTTTGAGTCGGAGTCTCACTCTGCCACCCAGGCTGAAGTGCAGTGGCACACTGCTCACGGACACTGCAGCCTCAACCTACTGGGCTCAGGCGATCCTTCTGCCTCAGCCTTCCAAGTAGCTGGAAATACAGGCGCATGCCATCACGCCCTGCTAATTTTTTTATTTATTGTAGAGATAAAGTCATGCCAAAGTACCCAGGGTGGTCTCGAACCCCTGGACTCAGGCAATCCTCTCACCTCGGCCTCCCAAAGTGCTGGGATTACAGGCTTGAGCCACCATGCCCAGCCTGGAGTTTGCATTTATTCATGTTCAGGGCGCCCTCTCCCCACATCTGCTGAGGGCAGGGATCTTTATACCATCCTGTACAAAGCAGCCATGTCCCAGAAGCAAGTCAGATATGCAGTCTCAGGCCCACCCTCACCCACTGGATCAGCATGTGCATGGAAGGGGATTCCCGTGCACGAGCTTAGGGAGCAGCCCCACCTCTCTCTGGCTCAGCCCCTCCTGCTGCCCCCAATCGGCCTCGACCCCAACCCCAGCCCCACTGCTCCATTGTGAGCCCTCTCTTGCTTGAGATTAGGCTTCTACCTCACTGTTCCTTCTGCAGCAGCCTTACTGCTACACTGGTCCAAACACAAGCATGTCGTCCCTCACGTGCACCTCCAGAAGCTCTTGCCATTTCTGACAGGGCTCAGCTTAAAGAGAGGCCTTGGCTGACCACCCTATGTCATATTATGATCCCCCTCAAAGAGACACAACACCCCCAGTACGATCCACATTTTGAAACTATTTGACTATGTGTATCTGGTCTGGCTTCCCATTAGAACAAGGCTTCATGAGGGCAGGGACCACGCTGTCTTGTCTGCTCTACACCGGGCACAGAGCCGGGGTGGCACGAGGTACCCTAGACCCTACACAGAGGGCAGGCGGCAGTCTCTGGAGGGCCGTGAAGGGCCCCATGGCCCACAATGGCTGGAACACAGCTGTTATTGGCTGGCTGCCATGGGATGTGTGAGATAAAGAAGGCCACAGAGCTTACTGCAAATGCAGATCTCCCTTAGCCCGGGGAAAGATCTTAGAAAATCACATGAAGCTGTGTTCAACAGCGGTACCTCCACCACTGTTACCCACCCCTGGCCGAGCTATTATCTGCCCCCTCACTCCAGGCCCTGCACTTCCTTGGAAGGGACTCCAGACTCGGCACCCGCTGGCAAGAAGAGCTGAACCCTCTGACACCACGCGCGACCTGGCCCAGCTCTGGGGGTGGGGAGGTGGGGTGGGGATGGGCATCAATTTTAGGCTCAGTCTGCATGTCGGGTTTCAGCTTTAGGGATGGAGCAAAACCAGCAGACGAGAAAGAGCCACTGGCCAGAAAGTGCTCAGAGCCAGCTCCTTCCAGGCTGGTGTGCTGGATTCAGAGACAGTCTCCGTGGTGGCTCCTGGGAGACCCAAGAGAGCAGGGGATGTTCTCTGCCCAGGGCTGCAGCGGTGGGACTGTCTTCCCTGCTCGTGAGCTGAGCAGAATGAACATGCAGTCCCAGAGGCACAGCTCCCAGAACAGGCGGCTCTGCAGCAGCGGCGTGGAGAATCCCACCCAGACATACCGACTCCACCTCCCACCCACCCCAGGAGCCCCCTGAAGTGCTTCCTGGACTTACCAGCTCCACTAGGAAGGCGGGGGCCACCCCACCGGCTTTGTAGAAGGCCCAGGGAAAGTTGAGCAGGCCGGCACCCAGGGCAGACTTCAGAAGGATGAAAACGGCCCCCGTAGAGGACAGAGTAGGGGCGGTCGTGGGGGGCTTTTCTGGAGGGCCGACGCTTCCTGGGGTCTGTCCCTCCATAGCTGGAGGCAGCAGAGGGGTGAAAGGCAGCCTGGACATGTTCTTCATTCCCTGGCTTCCAGGTTCAAGCTATCACTCCTGAGGTCGGCCAGGTTTCTCTCTCTCTCAGTAAGAGTCAGAGTGTCCATCCCACCTACCGAACCAGCTGTTCCTGCCTCCTCAGCCTTGGGCCCCATTTTTCCAAACTGTGAAGTGTGCATTTGTCCCATGACTTCTGGTCCCCACCTGACTTTCCATCCCGTTTAACTCCAAGGTGACCCTCTGCCCTGCCCCTCGTCCGCTCCCAAACCTCCAACCTCCTCCTCCCCACTCACCCCTTGCTTCCAGCCAAACTGTGCCCAACTTCCAGTCCTTACCACCAGGTGCAGTCTCTACGGTGCCAGACAGTCCTGGGATATCAAGGACGTCCGGAACAGGACTTGGGTGATGCAAGGTGGCTTAAATGCATGTCTTGGGCCTGGGGTGAGGGGGCAGATAATAGCTCGGCCAGGGGTGGGTAAATGGGTCATTAATTACAATTACGGGAGCCCCAGACAGCATGGGGCAGGGTCAGGTCCCCAAACCTAGGCGGCAGCGACAAGTGGTCAGGGTCATCTGTCCCAGGAACTGGCAGCTTTCGACACTTCTGCCTGAGCAAGGGCTTCTTAAGGCTCCCGGCCCCCACCCACCCCATGCAGGCTCCTCCCCAGGGGTGGGGCTTTCTCAGGAAGCTCAGCTGGGAGCAAGGTGGGAGGCATCGGGTCTCACCCAGCGCCCTGGCATCAGTTTCCTCAGTGCCTCCGCCCCCAGATGCTTCTCTGAGGCCCCCAGTCTGAGGGGGTGAGGGGGTGAGAAGCACACCAAGCTCAGTCTCACTTGTTGGCGGGGTGTGATCTCTGAGTCCAGTTCCCTCACCTGCAGGAGGGGGTCCATAGCCAGCCAGGCCTCCTCCAGGTCCCATTACCCTCCTCCCCGCTCCAGGGGGTGCTCCTCAATGTTGACATTGAAGTCTGATTCCTTCCACCGTGGGTGGGGCCCAAAAGTCCATCTTTCTAACAAGCTTGGGGGAGGCTGCTGCGGGCCCCACACTTCAAGGAGAGAGACCATCTCTCCAAGCAGACATGTGGCCAGCTAAGACAGCAGAATGTCGGAAACAGCCTCATCCTGGAAAACAGGCACGTGAAGGTCAAATCTTGAATCTGAGACTGCTTATTCTTAGGACGTACGCTTCCCCTCACCCACCTTCTCAGACTTCAGTTTGCAGAATCCCCTGGAGGGCTTGTTCACACTGCCAGACCCAGAGTTTCTGATTCAGTGGGGCCAGGACTGGGTCTGAAAATCTGCATTTCTAACTAGCTCCCAGGTGACGGTGATACTGCTGTCTGGCACCCCCCCCCCACTTGGAGAACAGCTGCTTTAAGTTCAACACCTTCAGTGCTCAGAGCCCCGCCTCATGCAATCAGTCCTTATCTGCTGGATACCAGATCAGCCCAAAAGGCTTTTCTCCATGTGGTTTTTAACCGTCTAACCCCTGACTTGTGCTACCTCCTGACGAGGGGTTCGATTATACCTTTGTGCCTCTGCACAGCAGGTGCTCGGTAAATGCGTGACCAGCTGAGTGACCAGCTTCTCGACGTAGATGAACAAAAAGGGAGCCGAGATTGTGGTCAGGAGCCCAAGGGAGATGGCACTCATACTGTGGCCACCACCACGGGAAGGTGCCACTGAAAACCTGGCCTTGCATGAGTTCACACTGATTCCCAAGGGGGCCTCCCCACATCCCCACTACACAGAGCAGGAACTGGGCTCAGGCAGGTTGAGTACGTAGCTCAAACGTCATGGCTGGCAAGTGACAAGGCTGGGATTGGCCCCCAAGTCGGTCTCCTCTCAAAAGTTGCAAGTCATGCTGCCTCCCCACCCCCACAATGACTCTTCCAGGGCCCGGGATGTAGGCACCCAGTGGGCGTGTGTGTGAGTACGCACACACCAGAAGAAAGGCGTTCGATTTTCCCTGCGTTGGGCTCCCGTGGCTGCTGTAACACAGTGCCAGACCTGCTGGCTTAAAACAGCAGGAAAATATTCTTTCATGGTTTTGGAGGCCAGAAGTTGAAGGTCAAGGTGTAGGCAGGGTCATGCTCTGGAGGCTCTGGGGAGGACTCTTCCTGCCTCTTCCAGCTCCTGGTGGCTCCAGGCATTCTTTGGCTGATGGCCAGATCGCTCCTGTCTCTGCCTTGTCCACTTGGCCTTCTCCTTTGTGTCCTCTCTTCACGAGGACCCTCGTCATTGAAGTTAGGGCCCGCCTGGATAACCCAAGATGCTCCATCTCAGGATCCTTAACTTAATCACATCTCTTTCCAAATAAGACCCCATTCCCAGGCTCCAGGCCATGGAGTGGATATATCTATTGGAGCCACCATTTAGCCCCACACCCCTTGTATCCAGGATCTGGTTGTGTTGTCAGCCGTTCAACAAATACCAACTTACTGAGCACCGACTACATGCCAGGCCCTGGGAGTTCAGAGACGAAGAAGGCCACTGCTCTGGAGGACGGGGCAGTCCCATGGGGAGGTCAAGACGAGACGTGCAACCTGAGCCGAGGGGACGAGGATGGGGCTGCGAGACCAGAAGAGGAAGGGGAATCCGAGGAGACATCTGTACACCAGTGGTGAAGGGCTGTGGGGAAGTTCTGGGAAATGGGAACCCTCAGTGCCAGGAGCACGAGACAGTGGGCCCCTGGGAAGAGACCCAGGCCAGGGCTGAGCTGGGAAAGGCCTTTCCTGCTACACCTGGGTCCAAACTCTGTGCCATGGGAGGGAGATCATCAGACTATGTGGAGATGGTGCTGGACACAGCAGATGGGGTGAAGGTGAAGCTGTGGGTGGTGCAGCCGGTGGGGCATGCAGCCCAGCTGGGCATTTACCGAGCTCTCCCAGGGTCTGGCTCTGCTCCCACACCCGGCCTCCTAAGAAGAATGGAGGGCCCTTCATTGGCAGCCGGGGGCTTCGTACTCCTTAATCTCGGCTCCAGGGCTGGGGGCACGTCCCTGTCCCTGCCGGTGGGTCGCTCATTAGCTGCCCATTAGCGTGCATGACTTAGAAATTGGCTACTGGGCTGTGAAATTCCAGGCGAGGGGAAAACCTCCTAATTCCGAGGGGCTTTGATATCCACCTTCTGCCGGCATCACAGGGCTGCGTGACCTTTCCCGAGCCATGAAGGGGCGCCCCGCGGGGCCCCATCTGTGGCCGGCGGGTGGCAGCCACAATCTGCTCAGCCTGGTCCTGCCAGGTCCAGCGCTGGCTCTGATGCCACAGGAAGACCCAGCAGCCGCGCAGAGGTTCCCATAGTGAAGTGGGCAGCGGCTCCACATCCCCCTGCTCAGGCACACCCAACTCGGGGTGGCCACTCTCCCCTGGCTCCCCATCAGGGAGCTCCTAGCGACCCCTCCCTACCTTCCCCACAGGGGCTGTGTCAATTGCCGGGCTAGGGACTTAGCGGCTAGGGACCTTGGCTTGTTCTCTTGGCCTTCTGTTTACACCCACTAGAAGGTTCTGGAGGACAGGCGAGGCAGGTCTCAGGGGCCAACTAGCTGTTGTGCTCAGCGACCTCATCACTCTGGCTCTAGTGTCTCGGCCCGAGCCTTACTCAGTCACCTGTGGAACGGGAGGATACCAGAGCCGTAAGGAGCCAGCATCAGGTGTTCAGGGCACAGGCATGAACGGCACGTGTCAGTTCAGTGCTGAACAAAAGCCTGTGTCACAGTCCATCATCACCCTGATTCCTGTGGTCTCACCTCGGCCTGACTTGGAGCTTCTAGGACAGGGTTCTGAAGCTTAGATCACAAGAACCGCTGGGAACCCTTCTCACAACCAATGCCAGATCTGCTCTGGCCTGGGGCAGGGCTGGGTGTCAGAATTTCTATGAAACACCCCCACCCCCAAGAGGGTATCGAGTGCCTTGAAGGTGGAGGATCTGGTTCTGGCCCCGCTGTCCCTGGCTCACACCCCTCCTTTCTCCACAGCTCTTAGCCCAGGGGCTGACCACGAAGACTGCTCACTAACTGCCAGGCACAGCAAACCCAGACGTTGAAGGAGTAAGGCCTCAACGTCCTCAGATGACAGGAGCTTGTGGACAAGGGGGCAGCACCACCCGCAGCCGTTAACCAGGGACTCAAAGTCCTTGCACGGGAAACACATGACAGCTTAGGGACAGAGGAACCCAGTGTGGTCAGCTGAACGGAGGCCCCGAAGATGTCCTCGTCCTAAGTTCCAGACCCTGAGACTATGCTACTCATATGGCAAAAGGGACATCGCAGATGAGACTAAGTTAAGGATCTGGAGGTAGGGAGGTTACCCCATGTTCCCTGGTGGGCCCTGGATGTAAAAAGTATCCTTATAATAGGGATGCAGGAGGGGTCAGAGCTCGGAGAGGTGGGACATGGGGCAGATACAGACTGGAGAGGTGTCTGGAAGGTGGAGGGCGGGTTCTCACCCAAGCCTCCAGGAGGAATCACGCCTGCCCACACCTTAACTGCAGCCCAGTGAGACTGAACTCAGACCTCCAGCCTCCATACCTGCGGGAGAATACACTTGCTGCTCAAAGCCACTAAACTTGTGGTCACTTGTGCCAATAGGGAGTATACCACCATCCTGGGTCCTAATCTTGGGTGACTCTGAGCAGAGGCCTGGGGCACCCTCAACAGCAGAGGCTGGGCACAGCCCCTGCCATGTCCTGCTGTCCCCGCCCTCTAGCAAGGGGCAGCTTCTCCAGAGAGCTGAAGTCAGGGGTGGGCTCTGGGTGAGAAGGGAAGGAAGCCTTCTGAAGGCATGCCTCAAGTCCACTCCTCCTGCCACTGGGGGATACACGGGTGGGTGGTGTCAGCAGCCAACACGGGCTGGGAGTGGGGACAGGGAGGAGTGCATGGTATTCCAGAGTCTCCATCTACCAGGTCACGACCACTTGGGGCCACGCTGACACCGGAGTCTAAAAGGCCCAAGGGCATCTTGCCGCTTTTTTTTTTTAGTTGGACTCTCACTGTCACCCAGGCTGGAGTGCGGTGGCAGCCTTGAACTGCTGAGCGCAGGTGATCCTTCCCTCTCAGCCTTCCAAGTAGCTGGACCCACAGGCACATACCATTACACCCAGCTAATTTTTTTAATTTATTGTAGAGATGAGATCTTGCCAAGTTGCCCAGGCTGGTCTCGAACCCCTGGGCTCAGGCAATCCTTTCGCCTCTGTCTCCCAAAGTGCTGGGATTACAGGTATGAGCCACTGCACCCAGCTCTCTTCCAGCTTCTAAGGCAGAGGCTCCCAAGGGGCTCGCCTATTCACACATTCTCAGGGAGGTGTGTGTGATAGAATTAACATAAAACTCACCATTTTATCCATTCCGACGTGTGCAAGTCAATGGTTTCAAGTACACTCAGTGTTGGGCAAGTGTTACCACCATCTAGTTCCAGAACACTGTCATCATCCCCAAAAGAAAACCCCTTCCTCCAACCCCTGGCAGCCTCTAATGTACTCACGTCTCTACAAATCTGTCTGTCCTGGACATTTTATGTGGTGGCATGAGACAAGATCTGGCATGCGTGTGTGTCTAAGGTCCCCCATGCCGTGGCGTGTGTCAGGACCCCATTCCCTTTTATGGCCTATATAAGCTTCCCCGTATGGGAGGCCACAGCCCTCCATGCACCCACCATCTGCTGATGGACGTGTGGGCTGTCCCACCTATCAGTGGCCCTGAGTAGTACAGCTGTGAATTTCCACATACAGGTTTTTGTATGAACATCTGTTTTCAATTCTTTTGGGTCTAGAACCAGGAGTGGAACTGCTGGTTCACACAGTAACTCTCTGCCCTGGGGTCTTTTAAAACAGGTTTCTAGGCTCTTCCAAGGTTTGCAAGTCTGGAGCAAGGCCCAGGAATCTGCATTTTCTAGGACACTCACCTGCAGTGCCTTCAAGTCACCTGCAAATGAGACTGATATTCTGCGTATGGAAATGATTGAGTGGCATCAACCATTAAAAAAAACCAATTTTAAAATATATCCCTAGAAGCTTCTAGTTAATCTATATACAGAAAGACAACTTTTTGACAATCCTCCGACTCTCCATATTTTGTGTCCTGTACATCAAAATCTAAGCAACACTCTCATTATCTCCAGTCAACCGGGTATCCTCTGCCTGCATAGGGGAGAGAAACCGGGCAGAGGGCGTCCATGCTCAGGCTCAGGCTAGCCCTGGGCATTTCCCCACAAGACAGCACTAGGAGCCCAGGGTAGCACACAGCCTGTGAACCACTGGCCCAAGGCTGGGAGGCGAGGGCTTTGGCAGATGCCAGAACAATCTGGAACAATCGCCACTGGGGCAGGATCACCCACTGTGGGCAGGTTTTCAGGTCACAGACTCGAGCGTCCCATATAGGGGATGATGGGGTGGGGGGGTCGGGGCGCCACTCTGGGTCACCATTTGCACCTCATCTCCAGGCAGCAGCTTAATGGCTCCTGCAGGTGAGGCTCCTGGGTGACTCTCCAGGGACAGCCAGGGTGAAGGATGGCACCCGGCTCATCCTGAGGACTCTGATGCCCCCTGTGGCTCCTAGGCATATCTATGGTTGTGGTGGTTGTTCTTGGTTTCAATGTCGCTGCTCACTAGAACAGGGAGTCTACACTAGGGGCAAGAAGAAGCGGGAAGCTGGCCCAGCTGGGACCATATGAATGTGCCTAGGTGATGCAATGTGCCTCAGGCTTGGGGTGCACATGTCCTCGTCAACAGCTGGCTGCCTGCTGTGGGAGTGCTCGACCCCCTGGCACCAGGAAGGACATAGGCAGGAGGGCCAGTGACATTCACAGGTACGGCCGCTGAAAGCTGGGCTGGGCACTCTCCAGTGGATGGAACAGGAAGGACCTCCTTCCCCAACCCAGGTCTAGGTTCCATTTTCTGCAGATGAGGTATCCAGATCCCCAGGAGCCTAGGTGTCAAGGCCACGCAGCTAGCATGGAGACAACAGTCCCTGGTTCAGTGCTCGCTAGTCTAAACTTCATTCCACAACCACATCATCTGCCGGGTTAGGGTGATGTCACAATGGAGGGCAAAAAAGTTTCGTTTACAAAAACAACACGTCCTCAGTTCAATCATTTGTCAACATTAGAATCTGAGATTTCACATAATCCAGACATTAAGCTTCTGTCCCCAAGACAAGGCCTGGTGCTCCAGTGAGCCCTGAGCCACCTGACCTGCTGTCCCCCAGCTGGCCCACTTCCTCATGTCTGTGACCTGCTGGGCCCCAGAGGTCAGTGATGCGCCAGTGACCCCAGCTTTTAGGGTGTCAGGCAAGGGAGGGTAAGGGCCTACACCTGCAGAAAACCAGGAGACAGAAGACTCCCTAACTAACAGCATGCAAGCCCCTCATCTGACATGCAGAGCTGCAGCCACCTGCTAAGGACAGGCAGACTACAGTGCCAAGTGCTCACATCCCCAGGGCTACTCGGGAATGGATACAAGTGTCCACGGGGCCCTGGCAACACCTTCAGGAGCCAGGGGCAACACAGCCAGAGTACAATCAGAGCTGAGGGGACCATGGAGCCTGCTGAGGATGAAAAGCCACCCGGAGAGTTGGACCTCACAGCTCCTCCCCTGCTCAGACCGGGCTACTTCTGCCTGACCTCAGCAACACCTGTCAGTGCCCACACAGCCCTGCCCACCCCTTCCCAGGTGACCCTTGCCTGTGATGTGTGGGCTAGTGTGTGGCCAGTCAGCACACAGCAACACTGGTCATGTGATAGGGGCTTTTAAAAAATACTTCAAAACATATGTCACAATTAAAATGTTCTAGTTTGTTCATGCAAAACGCCATGCATTACCTGCAGCTAAAACCACAAGCTGATTGGCCACGTACTAGCCCACGCATCATGTGACACCTGACACACAGGCTACCAAAGGAAAGAACAGAAAACTGGACCTTATTCAAGTGAAGAACTTCCATGTTTCAAAGAACACTGTAAGAAAGTGAAAGGACAATTACAATACTATAAGAAAGGGACTGGCAGTAGTAGGAAACTGTGGGAGGGGGTGAGATTGGCAGTTGAGGGAAATTGCTAGAGAAGGGAGGGGCATACCTCATCAACAAGGGTACCTACATAATCAACATTTGTATACCTAACCCTGAATTGTACCCCACATCTTTATAATTAAAATAAATAAAAAATAAAAATAAAAAACAAGAGAGTGAAAGGAGGCTGGGCGCAGACACTCACACCTGGAATCCCAGGACTCTGGGAGGCTGAGGCAGGAGGACTACTTGAACCCAGCAGTTTGAGACCAACCTGGGCAACGCAGCAAGACCTTGTCTCTACAAAAAAATTAAAAAATCAGCCAGGCAGAGTGGAGCAACGCCTGGTGTCCCAGGTACTTGGGGGCTGAGGCAAGAGGATCACCTGAGCCCAGGAGGTTCAGGCTACAGTGAGCTGTGATTATGCCACTGCACTCTAGCCTGGGCAACAGGGTGAGACCCCAACTCCAAAAAAAAAAAAAGTGAAAGGCAGGCCAAAGAATGAGAGAAAATATTTTTAAGTTATATATCTGATTTTAAAAAACCCTCATATCTGGAATATACAAAGAGTGCAATGATATAAAGAGAGCCCAATTGAGACATAGGCAAGCTGGGCTCGGTGGCTCAGCCTGTAATCCCACGCCTTTGGGAGGTTGAGGTGAGTGGACTGCCTAAGCCCGCGGGTTCGAGACCCACCTGGGCAGTGAGATCTCATCTCTACAATAAATCAAAAAAATCAGCCGGGCGTGGTAGCACATGCCTATAATTCCGGCTACTTGGAAGGCTGAGGCGGAAGGATCACCGGAGCCCAGCAGGTTGAGGCTGTGGTGGCCGGGAGTGGCCACTGCACTCCAGTCTGGGTGACAAGAGTGAGACTCCAACTCAAAAAAAAAAAAAAAAAAAGACATAGGCAAAGACTCTAACACACATTTATCCAAAGAAGATATACAAACACCCAATAAACACATGACAAGATGCTCAACATCATTCTCTTTAGGGAAACGCAAACCAAAGCCACAATGAGACACCACACCACACCTGCTAGGATGGCTACCATCAAAAAGATGGCAATGACAGGTACCAGCAAGGACATGAGAACCTGCAGCCTGCACACATCGCTGGCAAGAATGCAAGATGATGCAGCTGCTTTGGAAAAAAGTTTGGCAGTTCCTCAAAAAGTGAAACATGGAGCTACATGACTTCACTGCTAGGTATGTGCCCAACAGAAATAAAAAAAACTAATGCTTGCAATAAATTTATATGCCAATACATACTCACAGCAGCACAATTCACAATAGCCAAAAATGTTAACAGCCCCAATGTCCACCAACCAAGGAACGGATCCCCAGAACTGGCCTATCCACACATGGAGTGTCGTTTAGCCATAAGCGGGAATGACGTGGTGACGCTGCTGCAGCGTGGATGGACCTGGGAGACACCACACTGAGTAAGAGATGTCAGCAGAAAGGAGCGCACGCTGTGAGACTCCATTTATATGAAGGACCCAGAGCACGCAGACCTAAGAGAAAGCAGGCAGATAGTAGGGCCTGTGGAAGGCAGGTGGGCGACAGGGCGTGTGGGGAGAGGGCAAGTGGGCACAGGGCTCTTCTGGGGATGAAGAGGTCCTGAAACTGCTGAGTGGTAGTGGATGCATAACACCTCGTGAACACACTAGAAACCACTGACCCATACACTATGACGGGGGGGGGGTCTTACAGCATGTGCATCACATGTCAACAGAAAACAGGAACAGGCTGGTTCCAAACCAGTTCCAGGTTGTCATCAAAGAGCAAGGGATACATGGAGAAAGGGTCTGTTATACACACTTCTCAGCTTCATACAGGTAATGCGTATTTATTGAAAATTTTCTTCACCGATAATGGTGAAATCAAGACCCCAAATTACAAAACATGATGGCAGTTGATACTTATAAAAATAAAGCGAAGGTCTGTATTTCACAGATTTGGGCAAGTTTCCTTCAAATCTCAGTCTGTCCTTTCATCAGAAAGGAGATCATGAAATCTATGTTGTTTCTCATGATATAATAGTAAAAAACCACATTCCATTGACAAAAAAAAAAAAGAAAGAAAAATAGCTTTGCTTCCAAATAGCACAAGTCTTTAAAGTGACTTTTCCCAACAATAAATATAGAAAACAGCCTTTAACAAGCATATTTTAAGCTTGGTCGGCAATGCTGCATTTGTTTAAAAAGCACATCCTTTCTCTCAGGTCAGAAGGTCCCAGAAGTCTCTCCAAGTTCTCCCTGTCTTTGGTGCGCAAAGCTGCGTGGTGTGAAGTCTTATCCAGGCTGGGGAGCATCCCTCCCCCAGGGCCCACGGCCACGAGACCCTCAGGATGTATCACGAGCCTCAGTGCATCCCAGGAGGGGAGGCCCATGTGGAACAGACTCCAACACACCAGCAGCGGAAGCTGGATCTCTTTTGAACAGGTAGTCTTCACGGACATGCTCCCCTGCTCTGCTGGCCCACAGAGTGGCCCATGCTCAGCCAGCCTGTCAGTCACACTGAAGGGGTCTTTGGTGGGTGAGCCTGCTGCATGAGTTGTGGGCGCTTCACCCTGGGCTTCCTCCGCTTCGGCCTGCTCTTGGCCTTGTTGATTTGTACCACGAAGAAGGCCAGGACCACCATGGCTCCCAGGAAGGCGAAGACAGGGATGGTCTGGCCCACCTCCTGGTTGTAGCGGCCAGGCATGATCCCTGCAAGAGGACAACATAAACAGGAGCCCCACCAGAGCTCTCGCACAGCCTCCCTTCTTGCAGCAGTCGGACTCCTCGGAAACTTAATGCTTACTACCTGCACTTGTGGGGCTGGGGAGCACATCATTCCTCACCCCCAGCTGAAGACCCGGTGGATGTCTCTCTCCCCCTCTTCCTGGCTCTCCACAGATGGATATCAGGACTGGCCTGGCTTTTGCACAGGCTACAGTGGGGGCCCAGATGTGCTTTGTGTCCCTAACAGCAACAGAAGATAGACACATCTCCGTCTAGGGAGAGGGAAGGGTATGCTGGCATCACTCCAGCTGAGCAGGAAGTATGAGCACCACTGGCAGGTCCCTCCCTCTAGAAAAGCCCTCCCCGGGTGGGACACCTGGTGAAAGCCAGGAGCAGCCAGTAAGGACCTGGGTTTATAATGTCAGTACGACTCTGACTGAGTGAGGCTTCATTTGGAGGACTCTCCTGAGTGACTTGGTTTTCAGCTCTAAGCAAAAACAGGTTTGTGAGGGCCCTCACAATCTTGGCGTCACCAAAGTTCCCAGGGTTGGACTGCATGAGCCAGGGCACACTTCCTGCTCCCCAGAGATTCTTGCTAATTCCTGGAACTCAGAAGAAATCCCCTTTGGTAGCTATAAACTCTTTGGAAGAGTGCAGGGGCTTCCAGAGCTACAGCGTTGCCCCCACTCTGCCAGAAAGACATGGTAACAGTGGTCCAGGAAAAGGAGAAGCCCTCATCCTCAGCAATCTATTCAGACCAAAAGCCACTATCTCTGGAGGGGACAGTAACAGGTTACCTCGGGGGCACACCCAGCTCCATCAGGCCCCATCCCAGGTGGCCTGGGACAAGAAATGGGGACTTCAGGGCTGAGGACTCAGGGACCAAGGTGGCTACTGCCACTGGTCAGGACTCCACCAGCAGATGCATGTACCCTGAGGTACACAATGCACACTGGTACGCAGAACCTTCACAAAGAATGTACAAATTACAATGAAAAATTTAAGTGTAACTCACCTCCAGGGATGTCCCAGGCTCCACTCTCTCCGGGGGACAAGGGCCTCACTTGAGGGCGATTTGATCGAAAGTTTGGTAACACCACTTTGTCCAGGTCGATGGAGAGTAACTTTTGATGTTTCCAAAGGTTACTTCAGGAAAATGATGAAGACAAAATAAAGATAAGCAATCGTACTAGCCTAGGAAGCTTAGCTAATGCCTAAGAACCAGAAAGTGATCTACTGAGATATGAAATGTTTCCTTCTGCATCTACCCAGATCCACTGCACAGCGACTAAGCAACCATCTCCAGGCCCTGAGAAATACAGATGTCAAGTCCCAGCTCCTGAGATCTGAACATTCCCTGGAGGGATTAGTTCCACTGGGTCTGTAATACTGCCAACACAAACCCGTTTTTGCTTAGAGCTGGAAACCAAGTCACTCAGGAGAGTCCTCCAAATGAAGTCCCAAAAGGAGCCTGGGGCAAGAGAAGCAGAAGCCTGGTGAGTAGCCACAGGCTAGGGCCAGGAGAGGCCTAGGTCTGGTGAGTGGCCATGGGTTGGGGCTGGTCCTCTCCCGAGGCACCAGAGCAATTGGAGCTGCTTTCTGCCTAATGCAAAGCAACACAGCCAAGGTGACTCCACACCAGTTGTACATGATTAAGCAGGCAAACTGGCACCAGGAACCAGATGCCATCTTAGTCTTCAAGAAACCACAGTCTGGAGGGAGAGTGTGATATACAAGGAACAATGCTGTGAAGTCTGAGAAGCAAAACACAGACCCCCCTCCTGTGGGTGGGCTGATGGGCACAGGACACGTGTGCTCATAAAGGTGCTGTGCTCTCCGGGGCAGCAGCATCACTATTTATTTCTGCACCTGAAGAACTGTTCAGGCCAACACAACTTGGAACAGCAGAACAAACAGGTAGATGTGCTAGACGCAGAGCAAAGAGCTTAGGAAGACATCTAGACTCGAGCAAAGATGCAAATGGCAACTATGCTCCGCCTTAAGGGAGGGAAAATACTGAGGTCTGCAGAAAACGAATGCCCTATTTTGCTGTTTACTCATGTGGAAGCTGTTGGCTTGTCTCTTTTACTTTGGGCAAATGAAAAGCAAAGACGCCCAGTCCTATCAGCCATCAGGCAAAAGGTCCATGCAAAGTTGGTAGGTGATAGCTATTCTTTGAAGAGGCTTCCCAGGCAGGAAAGAGACAACCAAGCGATGCTCCCAGCTGGGTGACTGACTGGATGCCAACCAGCATTCATTACAGCCTTTTCTATTTCATATGATTTAACTTTACACTTCAGGTTTAATCAGCCTGAAAATGCAGCCAACAGTGCTAAGTCATGGAGCCAGTGATATTTAGGCCTTATGACTTTGCAGCTGAACATACATGGGCTGTATTTCCAGTCTAACTGGGACATCCTGTTGTGAAATACAATCACTCAGTGACGGCATTTACAGTGAAGTAGTCAATGGCACATTGCATTGTCATGGAGAATTTCACAGCACACTGATGGGAGCGCAGAAGGACCACTTTGAGAAGGGGTCCTCTTAGGGCTGATGCTCCTGCAGCTGCTCCAAGCTTGGACACCTGATGCCCAACAAAGAAACCCCCAAAATGCCTATGCATTCCACACAGATGGAAACTTGCCCTTGGCACAGGGCTAACAGACGCCCATAGCTGTCTGTTGCTCTCAAGTCTCTTTTAGAGATTAAGAATGTCTTGATCTAGGTCTCTGAGGACTGGGAATAATTTTCAACAAGATAGGAAATGCAAGTTAAATGTGAAACCCGACAGCGCATTACGGAGAGGGAAGTACCGAGAGTGGCTGTGAAAATCAAATTCTTGGAGCTGGCCATAATCAGCATCTTTGATGGGTCAGTTCAGTGATGGATTATTTGATGGAGACAGGTAGATACCATAAGATACCATTATCTGCTTCTCAGGGGCCCTAAACAACACTGTGGAGAATTACTGGGTTCTGAAACTTTAGCTAACACTGACTGTCCATTGATTATGCATTGCTGACCATGGCTAGAATACCAAGTCTGGTTTGAATGCTAGGATAATAGAAGGTTATAAATAAATAGGATGTAAAAATGGAAACTTTTCAGAAATTTTAAAATGATGGGTTGTTAACTGAAATGGAAAAGTACTCAATAATTAAAGGTTCAGGAAGAACACTGCTAATGACAAGACGATGTGATGATTCTACAATGTTCCTGTTTCCTATCAAGCAGATTCTAGATGAAGACATATGGTTACTGCAGGGTGAGTTTAGCATTCTGTTTATGATGCCCATGAAGGCACCGCCTTCCCACAGGCCTCCTCCCCTTCAGAACAGTGCAAACAGTGGCCCTCTGTCCCTGGTCCTACCTCCCCGGGTCACTCTAACATCTGTCCACGTTGGAGGAAGGTGGTAGGCAGGGGATCTATCCAGGGGGTTGAGGGAGAGGCTGGGTCCCAGGGGCGCCGAGGGAAGGACTGACAGGTGTCCCTGGCTTCACTCCTTCTCAGGGAAAGTCCTCTTTTCTCCTTGTCTTGTCTCACTCAGGCCAGGGATGCCATAGAAAGAGGGCAGGATCTGGAGAAAACAGGGACCAGCCAACCTAAGCCAGCTCAGGGAGGGATGGCAGAAGACTCAGGTGCTGGCTATAGGAAGCAAACAACTGAATGAAGAGGCCAACTGAGACAGAGCAGAGTGGGCGATGCCACACACAGAAATGCAAAGACAGGCAGACAGCAGTTAAGGCTGTCATCAGATGAGGGTGCTTCCCTTCCACCACCACCAGCCATACACAGGAAGCCAAACGCACAGAAGTGCGCTCCTACCAGCCAGGCTGCGATGGCAGAGCCAGATCTACACAGAGAATGCAGCCCTCAACGTCCTGAGAAAGGCCCTGTCTGCGTTCACAATCAGCACCTCACACAGGGACACAAGTGCATGCAGCAATACTCCCAGCCAAGACACTCGGGGCATCAGTACAAATGACAGACTGACTCTGTTGGAGCACAGCTTCTTAAATAAGAATTCACCAAATGTAACAAAATGCTTATTCTCCAAAGTACTTTTTAATGTAGGGTATCACCAAAGAGGGTATTTCTAAAGGCTATATGGGGGTTCACTAATTTGAATAATCATCACAAAATGACAAGTTAGAAGACTTGATTATTTGATAGTGATGTCAGTAAAATTCCATTCTCCCATATTAAAAAAAGGAATGACTCACACACCTGGCAGAAAGAGTGGAAAGCACAGGCTGACACTAACCTGGGCGCCGTCTCATTTAAAGGCTGTGGCTTGGCCCAAGATAAGTGTGGACAGGCTGGTAGAGGCCGAGGTTTTGGGTCTCCCAAATGGGCCTCGAGAACCTTGGAGTACCGATGAAGATGGTTTCCTGTGGTTAGTAGCAAATCAACAAAAAAAGGAAACTATTACCAAAATGCAAAAAAAACCCCACAAAAAAACATGGCCTCATGAGTTGTCTGCCTTCCTTCCTGCCAACAGGCCCATTGTGCTGGTGCGCTGCCTCCCATGTGCTTCTGTGGCCACACCAAACTGGTTCCTCCAAGACAATGCATGCTCACTGCAGAAGTGGGGTGAAAATCAGAGCCGGTCCGGTCAATGTGGTCACATGTATGCACAGCATAGGCTGGCCCACCTGTAATGCTGACCAACCCACTCACATGGCTACACTTGAGGAAGCTCATCTCCAGACAGGCTTGTGTAAAAATTTCTCTTCAGAAATATTTAATTTTTTGACCCCCCCTCCAAAATGCATTTTCAAAATTCCTTCTGTTTCTAAAGGCTATATGGGGGTTCACTAATTTGAATAATCACCACAAAATGACAAGTTAGAAGACTTGATTGAATACTGTAGTCACACACAGCTATCAAGCCACTGAAATGGTATGTGATTTCATAGTCATGTTTGTTTGTTTTTTTGAGTTGGAGTCTCACTGTTGCCCAGGCTTGAGTACAGTGGTATGCTCAGGGCCACTGCAGTCTCAACCTGCTGGGCTCAGGCAATCCTTCTGCCTCAGCCTTCCAAGTAACTGGGATTACAGGCATGTGCCACCACACCAGGCTAATCTTTTGATTTACAGAAGAAGAGACAAGGTCTCACCAAGTGCCCAGGCAGGTCTTGAACTCCCGGGCTCAGGCAATCCTCTTGCCTCCACCTCCCAAAGTGCTTGGATTATAGGCGTGAGCCACCACACCCGCCTGTGGTCATGTTTAAATGATGTTCTCCAGGTACTGAGCTAAAGTATATTACTAAAATGAATTATTATAAAGTGAATTCTTTTTACTTTTTAAATGCAGCTTCTGGGGAAACTTAAATGACATCTGTGGCTCAAACGAGTATTCTATGAACAGCAATGCGAGGCACAGAACATCCAGGCACTGGGATCCACCCTACTGTGTGCAAAGTGGCTGGGGTCCACAGACCTAGCACAGGCCCCAGGGTCGGCTTCAGGCTCCCCATGAACCACCCGGGTGACCTTAGGCAGTTACTTAACTTCTCTCAGCTCCTGTTTCTTCATCTGTAAACTGGAAATAATGATACCTATTTTCACAGGATTACTGAGAGGAGTTAGTGAGATAATCCATATAAACCAGCTCCTGGCTGGTGCCTGGTACCTAGTGAGTGATCGGAAATGGGGGTAATTCCCCCTGAAGGCCCCAGGAGCCAGTGACCTCACCTGTGAGAGTGGGACAGTAAACGTGGACTTCAAGGGGCAGGAAGATAGGGGTGAGCAGGGAAGGCACCTGCACATCGGGCCCACGTAAATGTTCTCAGGGACGAGAGAATGGCCTCTCCGCAGGTTAGAGCCACTGCGTGCTGGCCCACTTGCAACCATTGGCCAACCAGCCCCACTTGCTGGCACTCACAACCCATTTCTGAGCAGCAGTGCATTAAGCTGGATCCACCCTACCGCCAGGCATGGCCCCAGTCCACTCACCTTCCATCCGCTCTGGAGCGATGGAACCCACTCCGCTGGGAGGGCGCTGCCGGTTCCCAGAATGACTGAGGCTGGGGGGTGTCACACCATACGATGTGTACTGAAGAAGGGCATCCAGAAGCCAGAAGCAGTCTGCGGAGTCAACAAGCAGGCTGCTCAGAAATTTGGTTTTTTAAAAGAAATCCCTACGGAATTTTTTTTTTAATTGGGCCCCCAAAAGAGGGGGAAAATGAAAGTTCAGAAGTCAGAAGTTTAGGCCAAGACAAATCCAACAGATTTCCCAGTCACCATGAGACACGCATTCCCAGGGCCCCAGCCTACCCACACCAGTATGTACAGGCACAACCTGGCCTTGGGCTTCATGCCCTGCACCCCAGGGCTGTGGGCGGTTGGCACCACTGTCCACTAGGCTGATGGTCTGCCTTAGCGTCACACTCGGCCTCCCACAGATGAGGACAGAGTGGGACTTATGCAGAGATGGTAACATCCATTGAGAAAAGAATGGCGTTAGGAGCCATGCTCAGAGGCAAGAGGGAGAGGCGAATGGGGGTGGGGGGTAGAGGGGAGGCACAGCTCCTGCAATGCCCCGAAGGCTCTCCTGGGGAGAAGGAGCTGGATTTACCTGGGAGGGCGTACACCACAGGGAGGTGGGGGAGGGAACACAGCAGAGAGGCCAAGATCATGCAATGGACCCTGAGTCAGGCCCACCAGAGAAAGTGGGGTCAGTGACTTCTCAGGATATCTCAAGTCCAGGTGACAGGCCAGTCACAGCTCCCATCCACACCGATCCTCTCAGCCTGTAGATGCTGCACTGTCTCTAAAGCGGGCATTTCTTTTCATCTTGTTTCTCCTATGTCTGCCCACTTCAAGTCCTATTAACATCAACTTGGACTAGACAAGATTCATGAGAGAAAAATGCCATTAAGTACTTTTCTCTCATTAAAGAGCACTTCTGGTCAAGTGTTTAAAGCCCCTGAAAGATCCTAAAAGCTGCTATTTGAAATTTAAGGACCAGGACAGTCCTCTTGGGCATTTAAAATTTTAATAAAGACTCTTACCAGGCGATCTCAGGCCTTAAAAGAAAATCTCTGTGGAAATAAAACATTAATCTCCTTTAACTGTGACTTTAGCTTTCACTTTTGATTTTTAACAAGACCAATCATAACCTAAGGATTTACACGAATGCGAGGAACTTAGTCACCTTCAACCTGGAGCCGGAGAGGTGCTGACACAGCCCCTGCTCACCGGGTGTAACAACAGGAGGAGCTCGCCCTTCCCAGTGGCCCCCAATTCTCCAGGGTGGTGAGAGCAGACTAGGCTGCAGTCCTCACCAGATAAAAACACGCAACACTTTCACCACCCCATTTCCTCCTTTAAAAAGTGAGAAAAAGAAACACGCGTGACCAAGTTCAAACCCCCAAATCTGGAGGGTTCATCGAGAGAGACTGAGCAAGAGGAAGGGTCCTGGTCTCCCCTCATCACCGCCCCTTCACTGGGGAAGGCTCACAGCAGCCCAAATTCCAAGTGTGGGAGGAGAGCCAAGAGCATGGGCCTCCTCAAAGGTGTGGATGGAAAGAGCGGGCCAGCCCCACATGGCAGCAACCACAAAATACAGACAGAGGGGGAAGACTGTCAGAGCAGAGCCATGTAAGTCTAGTAGGGGGCTCTACAGCAAGACGCAGTGATCAGTCCTGGCCTCCTCTGGCCTCAGTGTGGTGAAGACGGAGAAGAGACAGTTCAGCAGCAGTGTTTTGTTTATGAAATGTGTCTAGACTCTGATACCCATCAAAGTACTCCAAGCAAGCAAAGCACTGGTAACTTCGGAGTTGCCCAGGCTCAGGAGAGCGGGTGTCTGTCATTTACCAGCATCTCATTGGCACCTTCCCAGGGACAGAGGGAGACAAGGTGCGTGTGCCAAAGTCACTCAGCCCATTTGCTTTTTCCTACCTTTCTGTCGGTGACTGTCATCCAGGCAATTGGAGTCTCCATACAGGACAATTCGGCCTCCACCCTCAGCAGGAATCTGAGAAAGTCCCAAAATGGGGACATTTTCAACAACTGCTGTTTCTTGCTTTAAAACCTCCAATCCTGAAACAACACAACAAAAACAGCAATGAGAATTTCAGTTGAGCAGTGAGTTATTTTCCACAGTTGCCATTTGAGATTTAATCCATGTGACAAATAAAAAAATATGCAAAATCAAATATTTAATTAAAAGTGTGAACTTTTAGGACAGGAAAGCAAAGTCCCAGATGCCATTAGTCTGAGTTTTAGCAGAATTCACTTATATTATATTTCCATACCAGCCACCTACACTTTCACTTGAAATGGTGGTTCATCTTACTTACAATCCTAAATGTGTCACGTCTCCCTTTTTATCCTAAAAAACACAATTTGTCCCTTCTTATTATGCTGGAAGGCTCATGCCCTCAGGCCACTTATACAAGGGACAGCCAGTCAGCAGCTCTTGCTAAACATACAGCTATCTCTACAGACACAGTCACATATACTGCTACCCAGGTCTCCTATTATATTATTAAAAGCTAGGACAAATGTAACTAACTTTTGAAAGTATGTCAATTTAAATTGACGATATCTGGGCCAGGCATGGTGGCTCACATCTGTAATCCTAGCACCTTGGAAGGCTGAGGCAGGAGGATTGCTTGAGCCCAGGAGTTTGAGACCAGCCTGGGCAATATAGCAAAATCTCATCTCTACTAAAAAAAAAAAAAAAAAAAAATCAAACAATTAGCCAGCCAGGATGGTGCATACTTACAGTCCCAGCTACTCAGGAGGCTGAGATGGGACAATCACCTGAGCCCCGGAGGCTGAGGCTGCTGTGAGCCGTGACCGTTGAGATCATGCCACTGCACTCTAGCCGAGGCAACTGAGTGAGACCCCTGACTCAAAAAAAAAAAATTAACATCTGTTACATTAATTTCATAGACATATGTTTGGAGAGCAGAGCCTCTTGCCTTTGCCCAAATAGATGACACAATGTAAAATATTTAATGACTCAAGAAGTCAAAAATGTACAAATGCTGTAGAAGTCTCTGCACCTTCCTTGGCACTAGAACGTGCTGTACGTCTTCATCAGATCCAGTGCTGTCTGCACTGATAACATCTAGAAGGTCTGTAGCTCTATCAACACATTTCTGCTCTCTGTGTCTAACTCTGCTAGGAGTCGAGTAGGAGAATAAACATGATTTCCTCTGGAGGGAGGGAAGAAGCGGTCAGTGACAGATGAAATGGGGACACGCACAATGCCCTGCCCTTTGGCTTTGTGGCTTGATGGAGTTGTGTTTCTGACAGCAGAGTGTTTTCTGATACAGAATAACCCAAATTCCTATTTTTTACCCAAAAGATTATTCAACCTAGTCTTTATGGGAATAAAAAGCTCCCTAAGAAGGATGCTAAGGCAATTAATTTTTCTTTTCAGACTGCAGCAGAATACCAACAGGAAGCCTGCATCCGTAAATCTTCTCTTGATCCTCCTCTGCCCAAAACAAAGATCTAGTGGAGGGTAACAAGTCAATAGGGAGATGACTGCTTTGACCCTTGTTTTCACCTAGTGCTGCAAGTGGTGCTGCCTGTGCTAGGGGACTGGGAAAACGTCATCATTACACGCTTCAAGTTGAAACACAGCCCTGGGAAACACAGATCTAGTTACTGGCTGACTCTGCTCTGATGAAAGGAAAAACTCCCTTCCAGGTAATAAAAAAATAAATTCTATCTTGCAGCTGAAAGCAGATAAACTAAGAAATCCTACCTTTTCATTATTTTCAACTAACAAAACTATCCTTAACTTTCCCTTAAAGAAAATAGCAAGTTTTTCAATGAAGGGAGCCTCTCATTCAGAAAAACACAAGATCGACTTGCATGAAGAAACGGATTCAGCTTGTACATTGTTGTAAGCCTACCATTTGAGGCACAGGACAGTCTCACAGTTCTCAGCAGAGGTAAGAGCAGACATGCATGGTTCAAATCACAGCTCCGGGATGACAGGGGGACCCGGAGTTTCTGCTCACTTGACCTTACTTTCCTGCACCTTCTTTTGGGAAGGTAGTGGGAACTCTGCTTGCTCCCACTCCTCCCTGGTTCACTGGGGGGCTCAGCCCACTAAGCATGCGATGGTATCACAGATCTTGAGTCTAAGGGAACTGGCATGGTATCTCTGGAAGATGCCTGCGTACAGTTAAAGCAAAACTAAAAGCGAACACCGCTCTTCAGAGAATTTCAAGAGGTTACTATCTAACTCATGTTCTTATCTTTTTTTTTGAGTTGGAATCTCACTCTGTCACCCAGACTAGGGTGCAGTGGCACACTCATGGCCACTCCAGCGTCAACCTGCTGGGCTCTGGCAATCCTTCTGCCTCAGATGTCCAAGTGGCCGGAACTACAGGCACACGCTACCATGCCTGTCTAATATTTTATTTTTATTGTAGAGACCAGGTCTCACCAAGTTGCCCGGGCTGGTCTTGAACCCACGGGCTCAGGCAATCCACTCGCCTTGGCCTCCCAAAGTGCTGAGATCACAGGCTGAGCCACCAAGTATGGCTCATGTTCTTATTTTTAAACAGTTAAGAACTTCAAAACACTGGCCAAAATTTTTCTACAATCTTAATAATCTGGCAATCACAGCAGCAGAAAAACTCCTAGATGTTAACAAAAAATTCAAGTGACTTTGATGGCAGATTTTTTTAAAAAATCGACAAGTAACTATTTTTGTCCTTCTCCTGGAGGAATTCAATTTCTTTTACAGGGGTCACTCTATAAAAAAATATAAACCAAAACTTCTAATGGGAATGGGGTTTCTATTTGGGGTGATGAAAATGTTTTGGAATTAGACCCTGGTGATAGTTGCCTGATTTTGTGAATGCACTAAAAACCACTGAATTGTACACTCTGAAAGGATAAATGTCAAGATATGTAAACTATATGCAATAGAACTGTTGAAAGCAAGAAAGAAAAAGAAAAAACCAACCCAAAAAGCCTGTGAACAGCACCCTTTACCTTGGTCCTTAAAAGTCTGTGTTATCACTATGCCATCTTCTGGAAACTTGGCGATGCTGCACCCTGACGCATAATACACTAGAAAAGAGTTGTTCAAAGTTACAGGAACGGAGAAACACTGAACACTTTAACCACCAGCTTCTCATTTACCCAAAATGTATCCTTTAGACATTATATATACAATTAAAAATTGTTTTTAATTTTAAAAGAGAGGCTATTGCCTTGTCACACTTAACCTACATGAAATCACCTCAAAATTCAAGTAAAAATACTGTTTTTTTGAGGTGAAGTTCTCACTCTTTTGCCTAGTCTGGAGTGCAGCCTCAACCTGCTGGGCTCAGGAGATCCTTCTGTCTCAGCCTTCAGACAGCTGGAACTACAGGTGTGCTCCACCACATCTAATTTTTTTGATTTATTGTAGAGACAAGATCTTACCAAGTTGCCCAGGCTGGTCTCGAACCTCTGGGCTCAGGCAATCCTCTGGCCTTGGCTTCCCAAAGTGCTAGATTACAGGCGTGAGCCACATGTCTGGCCAAAAAATACTACTAACATAGGTTCCTGAATAGATACTACCTGAGTCAGAGCAGTCAAAGACTCAGAACAACCTAAGTCTTAACTTGCAGAATTAGTAATGTTTATGAGGTTGTTCTAGAAACTAGCTGCCAAAAATTCACCTGTGGAAAAGCTTCTCAAATGAGAAACACAGTTATCACATAAACAAATTCTATAAATAATTAAGAGCCTATGAAGCATTTCCTATTATATTGGACATGAAGGCTCTTATAGGCAGCACTAAAATTACCAACGCCTATATGAAATTTTTTTTTTTTTTTTTTTTTTTGAGAGTTGAGTCTCACTTTGTCACCCAGGTTGGAGTGCAGTGGCATGATCATGGCCCACTTCAGCATCGACCTCCTGGGCTCAGGCAATCCTTCCACCTCAGCCTCTCCAACAGCTGGGATTACAGGTGCATACCACCACACCCAGCTAATTTTTTTGTTGTTGTTGAGATGAGGTCTCATAATGTTGCCCAGGCTGGTCGTGAACTCCTGGGCTCAGACAACCCTCTCACCTCAGCCTCCCAAAGTGCTGGGATTATAGGTGTGAGCCACAGCGTCTGGCTACATAAAATATTTTCACTTAAAAAACCTGGACAAACCCAGAGTTTTACAGATGCACTTTTCAAAAGTATTGACTAGTTCTCTTCATGGCCTTGAGCTTACTGAAAATCCCTTCGTCCTCTTGCTGAAGCTCAGGCTTCAGAAGCACATCGTTCCTGCTCTCACTCCGGACCCTGTGCCCCACTGAGACACAAACACCAAGCCTTACTGTCATGGTTTGCCAAGGTAAACTCCCCTTCATACAGGCCATCACTGAACCCCATATTCCACACAGACAGGAGTTCATTCAGAGCTGGGATATTAGCTCCTCCTGTGTCCGGCATCCACCACTGCCTGTAAAAGTGAGAACAGGTGCAGAGAATGAGTTGCACAGTCTGTATGCTCTTGGCCTCTCCATGACAAAACTTTCTCCCACCAATTCCAGTCCATCCATGCTCAGGTCCCAAGTGAAGCCAGCTGTCTGGGTTTGAGTGACACTGCAAATGTCAGTGTCTCAGCCAATGTGCAGAACAAATTACAGCTACATGTAGTCAACGAAATGGAAGTCACTGTTTCTGCTTCACTGAAAAGCAGCATGTCTGTGCCTGCTAAGCCTAGACAGAGCAGGAATCAGTGAAGGAAAATAAGAAAGCAGCTTGTAAAAGTTCAAGTCACAGACACAAAAGAAAACAATTCAAAATACACTGAGAGTCCTTGATCCCCATGTATCAGAAATATATAATAATTAACTAACTAGAACATTTCTTTAAACAACAGTTCCTTGATGCATTTAAACTTACATATAATCAATAGAGAGATGAGAGGATGGAGAACTGAACAGAAATGCAAAGCCCAAGCATCTAAGGTCAACAGGAGAGATGATGTGCCCTTGAAATGAGCACTTGGAAGCCACGAGCAGCTCCTTACACTTTCAACTTTCAAGAACATCTCTATTAGTTAAAGAAAGCTTTTTTCTAACCAAGCTCTCTTAACTTGCCTCTGCTAGTTAGAAAAACCACCAACATGTCCAATAGTCACTTAAGTATTAGCTGAGTAGAATGTAATTCCCAACAAGTCCTATTCCTTCTCCAGGTTCTGATCCACACCAGTACCTTGTGTTTTCATCATAGAACTTCACTTTTCTCATAACGGAGGTGTTGTACCAGTCGCTGAAGACAATGAGCGAGAGGCCGTTGTCCACATCCCTCCTCAACTTGGTGATCTCCTCGGGGAAGTACTCCTCCTCGCTGTCCACCATGAGCAAAGTTCCTAATGAACAAGTGCTGAAGTCAGAACTGTCACCTTGGACAGCGGGATATCACTGTCTCGGACACAGTGTCACTGGGCCCGTGGTTCATGGTCCAGCCCTACGAGCTTGGTCTGTGACAAATAAAGGCTCCAGCGGCAGTACGCAGGGCCAGCTTGCCATGACCTTGTTTCATCTACCTGTGGTACGCAGCACACACATTTTCACCTGCTTGGAAAAAGCTAGCGCTAGAGCTTCTTTTAAAAAAAAAGAGAGAGTACCAAGGTCGCTGGCTCCCCTGGAATACTCTGTATTCCAGAAGCATGCCACCCCCGTCACCACCTGAGAGGAATGAGTCTCCCGCTGGCCCAGAGACTCATTCCCAGCCCCCAGGACGTAGCGCCCACACATACCCCAACTGTTGCTTGTCCAAGCCAGGACTCCTGTCTCAAACTCTCAAACACCCAGCTGAGCAGCAAGAACACCGGGTTGGCACATCGGCACTGCTCACCATACTGACTGGCATCAAAGCACGTGAAGGGGGATCCAAGGACCTCCACGAAGTAGCCCATACTCCTCAGGTGCTGGTACATGTCCCTGAAGTTGGTGTGGATGTGATCGCCATTCCTGAAAATCCACAAACCACAGTGTCAAATGATCAATCCTGACTGGCAGTAAGGGAGGTGCAGCCCATGGACTGCCTCCGTGGGAGTACCGTGCGCCACCAGCAGAGAAGGACTGAAGGGCCAGCCCACTAGCTCAGGAGTCAGCCCCCAGCCTGCATTCTCCAGGCCAGACCTGTGGCAATGGGTGATAAGAGGAAACCACGCACACAGCAGGTACACAAGAAGAGATGATAGGAGACACATCAGGAGATGTATTTTCTACAGTGCACTGGAGCATGACCTGACTGCGTTTGTGTAAATCGCGGGCAACTACCTGTACCTGTCAAGTGAGCTCAGCACAGGTGGTGGGCACGCAATGGCCATGGACACTCAGGGACACTGGGACAGGCCGTATAGCATAGGCATGCTAAGTCAGTAGCCTGCAGCTAATGGACATCACCACTACCCATAGCCTCCCCATCCCTGCCCCTCCCAAACATACTCACTTTCCCACTGGTTACTCTACATAACCTGTCACCCCAAGCGCCCCCTGGAGAAACCCAGAGGTCACTCGCCCCCCACAGTCCTCCAGAACCCACCCCTCAGAAGCGAGGACTGCGTGTGTTCCTCTGCAGGCCCATGCCTAGCCTTGGCACACCCACCTCCCACCATTCCTTGTCTTCCGTCTCTGGCCTGAGCCCCTCCAAACTGTCTCCAGAGTCAGCTTACTTTAAAAAGCAAATCTGACCCTGGAAGTATCCTGATCTAATCTTTTGATGCCTCCCTTGGCCCCTACCTTCAGCATGGAATCCAAATGCTAGAGTAGAAATGAGCCTGGCTTCCAGGCCAAGAGAAAGTTTGCCCAGCAGACCCTGAAGGTCGTGGGGTCCCATCAGGAGTGGCCAGGTGAGGAAGACTCAACAGGCAGTCACTAGACGGTCTGAAGCACACTGTGATGGAATGTATGTTTTAAGAAGACTGGCTGCTTTACGCAGAACAGAACCCAGGGAAGCAGTAACACCAGAAGGGAGACTCGTCGGGGGTTAACCAATGCCATGCAGACAAGGGATGATGACAGCCTGAAGCAGGGTGGGAGCAGGAGGCAGACATGGAGAGGTTCAGGACATAGCCCGAGGGTAAGACTGATTGGATTTGCTGAATGACTCCAAGGGACAGAGAGCAGTTCAAGATGGTTTTGAGCTTCTTTCTGCACAATCATATTCATGAATGTTTCAAAAGAGAAGTCTGAGTGCCCTAAGAGCACACCAAGGGCCTGCAGGGTCTAGGGGCCATGTAAGTCCAGGCTCACAAGAAATGCACAGCGTGTCCTGCCTGGCAGCTGCAGGAGCAGTGGTGCCTCATTCCCTAGAGAACCATGAAAAAGTCAAGGGCACTGAACGGAGCAGAGTGCTTACCAGTCGAGGGGGTCATTCTTCATCCGCAGATTATCCCTGGGGAAATAGCCAGGCGGGTACCGGAGATTATGGTACTGATCCCAGAGTACTCTCTTGCTTCGCGGGGGTGTGGGGATGATCTTCACTTTAATTGGGAGCTTCACCGTTGAAGTCTGTTCTGCGCCATTTTTTGACTTCAAAAAAAAAAAAAGAAACTTGAAATTCTCTCTTTGCCCAGATAAAACTTTCAGGCTTCCAGGTTTAAAAAAAAAATCATTTCTATTTATCAATTTAACCCAACTAATTTGAACACAAGAATTTCCAATAGCAACAAATGCATGACAGAACACCCAAGTATCACACATAATTTCATCCAAACACTTAAGAGTTTATGGCTTAAAATTTAAGACACTTCCTAAAAACTACAACAGCCACACAGAATTAACCCTACACTTCCTTTTAGAGAATGCATGTTTTTGGTGCACTCATTTTCAGCATGAGAGCTGGTGCATAGCACAAGTAGCACATGATGTCCCCCCCTGGGCTGGCTTCCACATGCTGCCCTAGAGGCCCCGGAACCATCCACCATGGCCATCAAGGTCGATCCTATCCCATCAACTGTCCTTTAAATTGAGACCCCGGGCATTCAGCTGGCCCTCCCTTCCTGACGGGTGATGGTAAAAGGCCAGGACCCCAGCACATCCTTACTTCCATCTCTGCTGGCGAGGCCATAGTGAGCATGACGTGGCCCTGAGCAATGCCCTCCCAAGAAGCCGCTTTCTTGGTCACAGAAATAGAGATGGCCAGGTAGCCCGACCACGGCCATAACACCGAGGAGTACGAGAAGGCGACTTCAATGTTGTCTCCATTCTGTGGCAGATAGGGCTGCCAGTCAGGCTGCAGGAAAAAGCAAGCAAGCAGAGGCTGAAGTGAAATGCTCACAGAGAAAACATCTGGAAACCAGGTAAACCTCCATCCCCAAATGACTCAGGTTGGTTTTTGAGGGTAACATGAAATTTGCAGCCTATAGACCGTGGGGGAAATAGCTAACAGAAAAGTTTAGAAACCACTATTTCTGACAGTCTCCAATTTTATGGAGACTTTTCCCCCAAAATATAAATGGGGAGCACATACTAAAAGTTCTTTGATGAAGAACTTTTATCTTATTAGATAACTTATATAGCTGAAAACTCTCAGACTTGAAGGTATTTCAAGCCCAATTAGATGTGCACTTAAAGAATCACACTAACTGAAAGCAATAACATGACACAAACACCAACTGTCCTTGATCAAATGCTGAAGCCGGCGCTGGGTGGCTGGAAGAGGGAGGCGTGGCTGGGACTCTCCTGTCCTCCCTCTCAGGTGTGAGGGAAGCAGAAGGGGAAGAGTGAGTGGAGACCAAGTGGAAGAAACACAGATGAACTCTTATAAATGAGCCAGTGTTTCAAACAAACCGAAGATACTCAACTCCCCCACCAGCCACAAAGCAAGAACATATCCCCTAGTAAGACAGCCAATCGTGAAAGAAATTCTGATAAAGAAAAACATTGGCAGCAGCACCATAAATAATGAGGAAAAAAAGGGATTTCTAACAAATGCTGTTAGGTCCACGGGTTAGAAAGTGAGAAAAAAGTTAAACTTCCGTCCATCTCTTATACCACATATCAAATTAACAGATGAAAAAATTAAATATTTAGTTATCATACCAATGAAAATCAGTAAAAAAGAGTCAGGATTTTATTATATCTCGGAAGGGAAAGGCTTCTAATCTTTGAAACAAAAGAAATCACAAAAGATGAAAATTCCACTATACGAAATGTGAAACTTTCACAGATGCAAAAACAACAACAATGACAACAACAAAAACCCACCACAATAAACATTAAAAGGAAAGGAAAACAATACTCTAGGAGAATGTTTTGCATAAAATAAAGCAATGGTTAATTTCTCTGACATAAAAAGATATTGTTAGGACTGTAGGACTGACAGGGAAAATCCTAATTCCAATAGAAAAATGGGCCAAAGAAACGAAGAGGCAATTTATGTAAGAAGAAATACAGCTCATCAGCACAGCTGAAGACATTCACTCCCAAATGACAGAAGTGGCACACAATGAGCAGGGAGCTCTCAATTTAAAAGCTGAAAGATGTGCCACTTAGAAAAGACAAATCACATGATGAAGACAGACAGAACGTGGTCTGCCCATAATGGAGCATTACTCAGTCATAAAAAGGAGCAGCACTAACCATGTGACAACATGGAAGAACCCCGAAAACATGATGCTGAGTGAAAGAAGCCAGACTCCAAAGGACAAATGTTCAAGATTCCACTCACATGAAAAGACAAGAACAGGCAGACCCACAGAGACAGAAAGAACGGTGGTTGCCAAAGGCTGAAGAAGGGAAAAAGGAGTGACTGATAGTGAGTATGAAGTTTCTTTTTGGGAATGTTCTGGAATGGATACTGGCACAACTTTGTGAATTTACTAACAACCACTGAACTGCACAATTTAAAAGGGTAAATTTGACCGGGTGCGGTGACTCACACCTATAATCCCAGCATTTTGGAAGGTTAAGGTGGGAGGATTACTTGAACCCAGGAGTTTGAGACCAGCCTGGGGAACATAGAAAGACCTCGTCTCTACAAAAAATCAAAAAATTAGCTGGGCATAGTGGCGGTTGCCTGCAGTCTCAGCTACTTGGGTAGCTGAGGAGGATGAATCACCTGAGCCCAGGAGGTTGAGGTGATCATGCCACTGCCCTCCAGCCTGGGTGACAAAGTAAGACTCTGATACAAACCAAAAAAGTGTGTGTGGGGGGGTAAATTTTATTTTATGGTATATGAGTTGTATCTCAACTTTTAAAAGAGCTCATGGAATAAAAAATTTAAAAAGACATATCACCCAGCACAGGCCTAGTGGAGACATCTTCCCCCTTAATACCACTGACAGCAGTCTAAGGCAATGTAACTATCTCAGACAGAATTTGGTAGCATGTGCCAAGGGCCATAAGAAGGTTCACACCCTCTGATTCAGGGAGTGAATCCAGGGAGTTTATGCTAAGGACATAATTCAGAAGAAAAAAAAAAAAACACACATGCAAAGATATTCAGTTAAGATGTTTACAGTTGAAAACCACCGAGCTGTTCAAGTAAGAGAAAACAGTAAACAAGCTATGATTTACCAATTCTGTATAACACTAGATAGTCACCAAAAAGTGTACAAATACACTGGTGCTGTATATATAGTTACATTCTTAAATATTTATAATGAGAATTGGAAAAAAAACAGATTGTAAATGTGTGCCTACTGCACAAAGATAACAAAAATTAAGTAGTTTGGGCAAGGTCTAGAAAGGAATCGTTTAAAAACAGTGGCTATGTTAGTGTGCTGGGGCTGGAAGTGAGTTTTCTATCCTTTTCTCCCAATCTTTATTGTTGTGATGAAGTATTAAAAATATAAAAAAACAAAATCCAAAAGATCACATCTTCCAAACACAAAGATCACATCTTCCAAACACAAAGGCCAATCTATGTTCATTAAGGAATAAAGTAATTACAACTGGGTCTTTAATTATAGGTGGAAAGTTGTATAGACGAAATGTAGTTGATTCAGGGGCCAAAATCAAGATGCCAAAGCAAAAAGGAAAACTGATTTCATTAATTTATAACCTGACTTACTCTGTAACAGACTTAAGGAATAACAAATCACCACTTCCAATAGCCCTGGTACTCTAGGCAGGTAAAGATAAACTTTCTTTTTTTAATTTTTTGAGTTGGAGTCTCACTCTGCTGCCCAGGCTGGAGTGCAGTGGCAAGCTCACGGTCACCGCAGCCTCAACCTGCTGGGCTCAGGCGATTCTTCCGCCTCAGCCTTCCAAGTAGCTGAAACTACAGGCATGTACTATCACACCTGGCTAATTTTTTTTTTTAATTGTAGAGACGAGGTCAAGCCAAGTTGCTCAGGCTGGTCTCAAACCCCTGAGTTCAGGCAATTCTCTCACCTCGGTCTCCCAAAGTGCTGGGATTACAGGCTTGAGTCACTATGCCTGGCCAAAACTTCCCTTTTTTAACTGCAGAAGAAAGTTAAAGACTTAAAGGTCTGGGCTAAGTCTAAGTTCACCACCAAGTCAGAGACCAAGTCAGAGAGAAGGTTCACCTTATCTACAATTCTTCCTGTGACTCCCATGCCGTTGAGGATGGTGACATTAACAACTGTCGGCATTCCTCCATAGTAGATGGGCTGGGAGCAGTAGGGCCACATGTAGGGACACTCAGTCAGATCTATGTAGCTGGGGCTCAAACTGAAATAAAGAATACAGTGTTAGAGTAGATCATACTAGAAATTGCAATGAAGCAATACAACTGTGCAGGACAGAGCTAACAGCACAGACCTGAGCCTCCCCCAGGGCCTGCTTGCAGGACTGCCCTGGCTGGCACCTGGGGACCTGGCTTGGAGTGCTCCTACACGGGCAAGGCCTCTGTGCCAGCCTGCTAGGCTGCTATACCGACATCAGGATGTATGGGGAACACCTCTTTCCCCCGGAGAGTCTGGAGCTTTGGTAGTTACAGCTGGCCGAGAACAAGTATGTGACCAGCCCTGACAGACACTTGAACTTGAGTCTCAAGGGAGATTCCCTGGGCAGAAACACACACATGTCAATGTAGCTCACTGCTCAGCTGAAGGCAGTTGAGAGCCTAGGAAGCCTGAGCTGGGGTGCTCCAGATGCCCTCTCCCCTGTAGATCCACTATACCTTCTTGATGTGCAAAAGGCATCTCAGTGTGACCACAGGCTGAGTCCCATGAGTCCCAGGCAAAGCATCAAGCCTGGGAGTGGTGCTGGGAACCCTGCCATAATTTGTGTCAGAAGTGTTGACACAAGTGCTCCCACAATTCTGTTTCATAGTTTCCCCTTATCTGAAATGGATTTGTGTTAACATCACTCCTGGTGCAGGAGCAATGTTGTCTACGTTAAGGTGAAAAGATAGGCAGAAGTGAGTGCTTTAGCCAGGACATGACCCAAGGTGACCACCCTCAGGACAGCAGGCTGAGTGAGCTCATCAAGCTGCACCTGTGTCCAACAGGGACATGCCTGCTCACCTGCTTCTTCCTATGAAGGATGTCTAACCTTTCTCAGACATCAACTACATGAAGAATATTTTCTATTAGTTTGTGATATCAAAGACTTATCTGGGTCAACTGAATTACTACAAAAAAACCAAACAGAATATCTTTAGGGATACTGTGACTTCCATGGGTAGTTATAAATAACACTATCAGTTAGTCATCTAAAATAGATACCACCCAATTTAAGAACTCTAAGTGGGCTGGCCATCAGACTACAATTGCATGCATCAACAAAGGCACCTGTTCTACCTAAAACAAGTTTGTAAACCTTGCTGTAGACCTGTACTCTATAAACAGTTTAATTCAACCAACAAGACTAAACTTAGAAATCATTATCAGCAAACAGAATTCAACATCATATTTTAAAAAACAATGCACTAAAACAAAGTGGGATTTATTTCAGGAATGTGAGATTGGTTCAATATTGGGAAATTCATTAATATGATAAACCATATTAACAGGTCTAAACTATGTATATGATTTACCTTTATAGATGCTGAAAAAGTCTACAAAATTTAATGCACAGTCATGATGAAAAACACTCAAGAAAATAGCAACTGACAGATAATCTCCTACCATAATAAAATAAGTATATATACCTTAGTCATAAAGCCAGCATCACAGTTAATGAGAAAACACAGGGCATTCCCACTGAGGTGAGGAAGGATACCCACTGTCTCCACTGTTATTCAGCACTGTGCTACAGATACTAGCCCTGCAACTCAACAGGAAAAAAAAATCAAGTCCTTAGAATTAGTAAGGAAGGGGCAAGAAATCTCTATTTCCATAGGAAATGTTAGTATACCTGGAAAATGCTAGAATATCAATGATTAAACTAACTCACACAAGATTTTAGTTAGGTAGCAGGAAATAAATTAACAGAAATAGAAGCAACCAGTTAGAGGATATAACAGTGAAAACCTCATCTACAAGAGCAACAAAAGGTTAAATACTTAAACTTACCCCAAAATGTGCAAACTCTACAGGAAGACAACCGTAAACCCTACTGGAAGACACAAAGACTTAACAAGTGGAAACACAACAGCTGGGCGTGGTGGCTAATGCTTTTAATTCTAGCACTTTGGAAGGCCGAGGTGAGAGAATTGCCTGAGCCCATGGGTTCGAGACCAGCCTGGGCAACTTGGCGAGACCGAATAAATGAATGAATAAATGAATGATTGCCGGGCATGGTGGCACATGCCTGCAGTTCCAGCTACTTGGAAGGCTGAGGGAGAAGAATCACCTGAGTCCAGTAGGTCTAGGCTGTGGTGGCTGTGAGCGTGCCACTGCACTCCAGCCTGGGCGACAGAGTGAGACTCCAATTCAAAACAAACAAACAGAAACACATCCTTTGCTCGGATAAAATAACAGAAAAATATCACTTCTAAGTTCATTTAAAATTTAATGCAATCCCAATAAAAATTCCAACAAGTTTCTTTCATGGAGTTAGATAAGTTGACGTGAAAATTCATATGAAGAAAACAAACATTCAAAAACAGCCAAGAAAACACTGAAAAAAAAATTACCAGGGGACCTAGTACTACCAGACATTAAAGCACATTATAAAGCCTTTATAACTAAAGGCTATGTACAGTGTGGCATTGGTACATAGACAGATAGACCAGTGGAATGGACTAGAAAAACCCAGAGACAGACCCAAACACATATGAAAATTTAGTACATTATAATTGCTCAAATCACTGGGGCAATGATAAACTTTTTTTTCTGCAGCCAAAATTTACTCATTAAATTATGAACTTTTTAATGAATAGAGCTGTAACATAACTCACACCATACACAAGAATAAACTCCAAATGAATCACAGAATCTCAAGTAAATAAAAGAGAATAAACAAGTATTGGAAGAAAACATGGGTGGATTTCTCATCCCCCAGGTGCACACAAAGACTTTCTAGGGCTCGAAATCCAAAGGCAATAATAAAAGCAAAGATGAACAAATTTGACTATTTTAACAAAACAAAAACTGCATGGCAACAAACATCTTACACAAAAGCAAAAGACAACCGGCAAATGGGACAAAGATCTGCAGCATGTATCACGGACAAAAGGTTACCAACCCTAGCATATGAAGAATTCACAGAGAGGGACCAAAACTCCACAGAAAGAGAGGAAGAAGAATGAACAATTGGTCCAACAGATAGGAAAATGACCCTTTAAACACAGACATACGTGACCAAACTCACACTAGAGAAATACAAATTAAAACTATACTGGGATACCATTTCTAATCTGTCAGACTGGCAAAAAGGTTAACAAGTGTGACAGAACATTCTGCTGAGGTTGGGGGAAACGGGCACTTTCACCCTGTGGATGAATACAGACCAGCACAACCCTTCCAGAGTGGACACCACCATACCTAACGAGGCTACCTGGGGCACTTGACTTTGCCCCAGGAGTACCACATCTAGGAATTTATCCTGAAGAAACACCTCCAGCAAAATGAAGATACCTAGGCACAACATTATTCATTCCAACGGTTTATCATTACAAAATACTGGAAACACCTTAAATGCCCAAATGTAGATAAGTGGCTGAATAAACAATTGTATGTTACATGATCCAGCTGTTAAGAACAATCTCTATGGACATACTGCACCCAGGGTGATAAGTGAAAAAAGCCAAGTGCAAAAGAACATCCACAGTCACACTGTCCTCATGCACACCTGCTCATGTGTGCAAAAGGGAACTTAAGAAGCAAAAATTAAGACCTAAGGTGACTGTCGCCATGAGCATAAGGGTGCTTGGGAGCAGATGAGAGTGGGGGATGGTAACAGGGACATCTTTTTGCACTGTTCTGACCTTCAAACATGGCAATGCTTCATCCACCTAGTAACTAGCTGAAATCAACCAGGATATGGGGAGATCCAAATACTAACAAATGAGCCCAATTGTATGAGAAATGAACAGTCAGAAAGGCATTAACCTAAGCAACACTGGGAAACACTGAATGTTCTGTAAAGCTGAAGACAAAAAAAGCACCCCCCTCACAGATATCGTACTCTGGCTAGCAACTGAGGTGTTCTCCATGGGATGGGTTAGCAACTCTAACGTGGCTTGGTATGTATGTCCTAGGCTGAGCAAGCAAGCGAGTGCATCAGAATCAGGAGGGCCAGGATTCTCAGTGCTGGAAAGGAGTTAGAGCATGGAGGGAAGGTATGGACTGGTGTAGGTGGGGTCAGGAGATGGTGTGAACTTGTGTTTCTGACACACAGACAGACACAGGAAGAGGTGTGCATGCACACGTGCACATTTCCTTAGCTGTCTGCTAATGAGACTAGAAACGACAAGGCACAGTAACTATGTACACACCCAGTGCCAAGTCTTCTTTTCTAAACACCATTCTCCAGTCAAGGAACAGGCTGCTAGGAGAAAGAACCAATGCCAAGGCTGTAGCACAGAAACGCATGACGGGCATCCTGTGCCACCAAAAAGAAAGACGTGCTCAGACAGTAATGGAGAAAGGCCAAACAGACACCGACACCAACGAACCAGAAATGTTCCCAACAGCCAATGGGGGATAATCTGAACAACAGATTAGACAGTGACATTAATGGATTATAATCCAGAGTAAATGTCCAGTGTCCATATGAAATGAAGAACTGAATAAGCAAATCAATGAACAGAAAGGCTGGTTCCTCCTTCCAGCAGAATTCCAATTAATACAAGCAGAAGAAATGAGGGAAACAGAAAATCGCCATGTGTCCAACTCCTCCACAACAGTCACCGAAGGCAAGAGCCATCAATGGATGCTAAAATTGGTGAGGGAAAGTATTTAAGAAACAAGGTCATCCTAAAGGTCATCCCACCTCACAAGACCCTTAGGTATCACAAAGAAAAAATGGCAGCTTTACTGTGGAGATGCCTGTAAAGACCATCTCTGCCCCACGGGCCAGCTGCTCTGACCTCCTGCGGCAGGAGCACAGCCAGCAGACAACCCCAGTTGCTGCCCTTGGTCCACCATGGCTGTGCCAAGGCTAGGCTTCCTCCAGCTGCTCCTGGTCAGTGACTGAGTGCAGAGCAGGGACTCGGGCAGACCCATTCCCGAGGGACACAGGACTCCTCCAACAGGCAACTCTGGTTCCAGAATTTCCCATCAGCCCAAACTGTCTTAAACCTGGGTGGCAACCTGAAGCTCCTCCCTCCCAACCCCCTTCCCTCTCCTCAGGGCATCAGATCCACACCCCAGGCCTCAGACCCCCCTGCCCTGCCTATTCCCACTCCCTTCCCTTGGCCTTCACAGGCACTCATGCCCCCGTCAAATCTCTTAGGCATTTGATTCCACGCTGGCGCCTGCTTCTTGGAGGACCCAGACTGACAGACCACATTAATCAAATGATGAAAACAATGCCACCAGTAATAAGAAAAAACGAAGAACTGTCCACAGTTAGAACTCCAAGACTAAGAAGACAGGGTGACTAAACGCAATGTAGGACCCCAGACTAAATCCCAGATCAGAAAAAGGACCTGAGAGGGACAATGGGCAGAGTCTGTAGGTCAGGCAGCAATGCCGAGTTAATGTTAATTCCAGAATTGAGGCTTATTCCGTGGCTATGTTAAGACACTAGCGTTAGAGAAAACTAGAGGAAGGTTTACGGACTAGATAAGGGTTTATGGGTTCTCATGGACCATTTGTGATACCTCGTTGTAAATCTCAAATCATTTCAGAATAAAAGGTGGAAAAGTTTTACTAAAAATGCTAACTTTAAACTAATCATGAGAAAACATCCGATAAGCCCACAGTGAGAGACAGTCTACAAAATACGTGACCAGAACTTTTCAAAAGAGTTAAAGTCATGAATGAAATAGAAGACAACAAACTGTCAAAGGTCAGAGCAAAAAGGAGACTGACTGCTGACCATAAGAGAGAGGGGGTGAGGCCTGGACCCAATGAGGGCAAGAGGGTGGGGGGGGCAAAATGGGCACCATCTGCAGATTAATGACCACACAGTGTTAGCAGGAACCTGTCAGCTTCACAGCTGCACTGTGGCCATCTCAGAGGCAGTGGCAATGAGGCAGGGCAGAGGCTGCACGAGAACACTCTCCTCTGTATTTCTGCAAAATTTCTGTAAACTGAATTTTATTTCAGAATTTTAAAAAGTAGCCAAGAAACACAAAAATCACTCTTTTCAACCACTGATAGTAAAAGCAACATTAATGAATCAAAGCAGTCAAGAGTTCTGCCAGCAGCGTCCCAAGAGAAGTGACAGCCGAAACTCTCACTTAGTGCCCAGTCCTGTGTGATTAGAGGCCACCCTCCTCCATGCAGAGGAAAAGACCCTAGAGGCTAGCGGGAAGAAAGGAGTCCTCAGAGAAGGGTACTGACCTCGCCTGTGGCTTGTAGCTGTTGAGGATCTGGTAGGCTCTGAGCAGGTCAAGCTTGCCGTGGCCTTGCTCGAACATGTTGACACCAGGAAGCCGCCGGGCAGACGCGATCAGGGCCTGCTTCATGCTAGCAGGATTCACCAGCTCACGTTTCTGGACTGTGCTGGAGGAAAAATCAAATATTTGCTCACTTTCTCTCAGTAGACCACCCCTCCCTAAACTGCCAGCTGACCACCCCTCCCTAGCCTGCCAGCTGACCACCTCTCCCTAGCCTGTTAGCTGACCACTTCTCCCTAGTCTGCCATCTGATCACCTCTCCCTAGCCTGCCAGCTGACCACCCCTCCCTAGCCTGCCAGCTGACTACCTCTCCCTAGCCTACCTGCTGACCACCTCTCCCTAACCTACCAGTTGACGACCTCTCCCTAGCCTACCTGCTGCCCACCTCTCCCTAGCCTCTGTCCTTGCTTCACATCTGGCAGGAGCATCACCAGAGCACAAGCTGGCCCTCATTTCTGTACCTGCCCCAGAATTCATGTGGCCTCTACGTAGTTTTTCTGAACAGTGACTTATGGGCTAGTCTCTGCTTATGCTAACTTTATCAGTGACGATATGTTTCTGATAATTCAACTGACTCAACCACACGGGCTGCGGAGATAAGAATGTGTAAGAGGTACTGGCTCCTCAGGGGACACACTGGCTGGGAGAAAACAGCACACAGGATACTAGTGAAGGACCTCAACGTAGGAAGGGCAGGGGGCGGGGTTTCAGTGAAAGCCACAGCCTCCAGAGTGAAACCTGGCCCCTTGTGTCCTGACAGGGAGGCCTGTGCAGGATGCCTCATCCCTGGGGGCTTCACCTTTGGAAACACCACAGACCTGAGGCCACCTCTGAGTTTCAGTATCAGAATGCATCCTGAACAGTCTGTAACACACAGCTTGACCCAGCTAGGACATTATTAGGCAACACTAGCACCGAAACATTTGTGTATCTGTGTATTATAAATTCAAGTAAATTTTAATTTCTAAATTGAGGGGGGAAATTAGTAGGCAAAAAGGGAAAACTTACTCTCCTAAGTTCCTAAATATTTTTATATGATGGTGGGTGGTCGTGGAGTCTAGGCAGGTTATCTAAACAGGAAGTCTGATGCAAGGAGAAGTAAGAGGAGATACAGTCGGATTAATCCTCAATGACAGAATAAAAGAACCACTAACAGCTACAGACCAACAATCTGTCCCCACTTCCCGCCTATAGAGCCAAATCCAGGATGAGGCTCCACTTCCTTCTGAGACTGTGAAGTGGGACAGCCCTAACCCTAACCTTAACCCTTGGTGCTAGCATCTACTGGAGCTAGGTCAAGGCACACATTGTTCCTGAACAATGACACTGGCATTTTCATCTGCTGCAGGGAGATGAGAGATAAAGTTTTCCTTGCTGCTGAAAACACCTGTACTCTAAAACACCAACGGGAAAACCATCTCCTCTTCTCCCCACTGACTTAGCAGAGAGAGGGGACGGCTCAACAGTAACATGTGAACTCTCAATCCTTCCTGACACTCGTGGCCAGTGGGAGAAACGAGCCAGGATTTTCTGTCTCCAGATCAACAAGACTGGAGATAGCCCTAGCTGAATGCTCTCCACCTGGCAAACACAAGGGCACAGGTGACCCAGGTAGCCCACAGCTTACCTTCCCTTCCCTCTGTTCTTCACTTTATGTAACATGGGAAAGAGAAAAACCACTGGAAAGAAACATACTGCTTCCAGCAAGCCCACAGTTATTCTCCAAAGGCTACTCTGGCCAGCGCCAACAGTTTTCAAGCAAGGGGCTCTGAGCTGGAAGGAGAAGATGCGGGAAGAGGGAAGAAGTAGACACCTACCTTTACCAAGGATGACTAACAAAGTAACCTCTGGCACTCGGAGCTAAAATAAACATTCAGTTTACTTACTTTTAAAGAGGATTTTAAATATAAAACCATCTACTATCATTTGCATATTTTAATTAACTTATAAATTGTAGACTATTAAAACTTTCAAATCTGCAGAGTTCTATGTTATCACAGCATACTAGCCCAACTAAAACTTCATCTAGCTAGAAAAGGCAAAATTTATTTTGGGGGAAAATGCAGTGACAAAATAATTGCTGGCCCCAAAGATACCGTTTTTATGACTGGTAATAAACCCATCCAACTAGAAGTGAGAGCACACTGGCTTGATTCTAGTATACTATCTTTGAAAACTTTCTTCCAGTTTCATTATCTGCAAGACTAAGGGTCAATCACTAAGCTTTGTTCCAATTGTATATGAAATCCAATGGAATGAAGAGAAGTGGTGAGTGTCAGTCTCTGGCCAGTTGACAGCCTTAGCTAACAGAGGACACTGAAAGGTGAGTCCTTGCCACAAAAACAACAAATGGGTAGCTCTGCACAAGACAGATGTACGAACGTGCCTCACCCCCCCATACTATCTTGCATGAATGGGCTTCACCCAGCAGACCTCTTACTATCTCGTGTGGATGGGCTTCATCCTGCAGTCCTCTTAGTATCTCACATGAATGTGCTTCCCTACACAGCCCTCTTACAATCTTACGTGAATGTGCTTCATCCCGCAGCCCTCTTACTATCTGCGTATCCCGTAACATCATGTTGTGTACCTCACAGATATACAATACAACTTATTTTTCTAAGGAAATGGAGGTGATAGGAAGAATGTATCTTACTTTTTTGTTCCTTGCCTGATATATATACTTCTCTGGATATAAAAAGTAAAGTTCTTACACATACTCAGTATTTTCTTTTTCTGAATTGGTCTCACTCTTGTCACTCAGGCTGGAGGGCAGAGGCACACTCACCACCGGGCTCAGGCAATCCTTCCACCTCAACCTTCCAAGTAGCTGGAACTACAGGCATACACCACCATGCCTGGCTAATTTTTTGATCTATTGTAGAGATGAGGTCTCGCCAAGTTGCCCAGGCTGGTCTCGAACCCGTGGACTCAAGCAATCCTCTCACCTCGGCCTCCCAAAGTGCTGGGATTATAGGCATGAGCCACCACGCCTGGCCTAGTATTATTTTTTAAAACAAGAGTTGAGTAACAGGTATTTTGCCCATGTACGATGCTGTATGGTTTAATTTACAAAGTCTATAGTTAGACATCGCCTATATAAAAGGGACGCCTACCTCTTGTAGAGATGAAGAAACAAAGAAAGACCAAGACTGTGATATGCCTAAACTCTCAAGCTAGTCAGGGCAGGGGCAAGACTCAACTGCTCTGCTGACCCCAAGTGCCCCATCCTGATGCTGGGGCTGCCGGTCTCTGCTGAGCGACACTCACCTCACTAGCAGGGTGACGGCGCCTGCAACCACGGGAGAGGCAACGCTGGTCCCCGAGAGGGCCCGGCACCCCCCTTTCACACCAGAACCCCGCACTCCAGCACCATAGGTGACAATGTCAGGTTTCACACGACCGTAGCCTCCTGGCAGTTCCTGTGAATAAAAGCAGCTCAGTTTCTCCATCTCTCACGTCGGCATAAGCCACATGTGATTACGAGTGAATAAAACCCGAAGAAAATATGGGCTATTGACAAGCACATAAACCTAAAGAAAGTACTGGTTTTAGTGTGAAATTCAGTGCAATACAGAAAAAAAACAAGCCTAGACGACAATGTAGACAATACAATTATTTTTAGTATGTCTTATAATAACCAGTGCAATAGTAAGGGCATAAAGCAATTAAAAATAAACATTTTAACTTCACTAACACCAAGACTAGAAGCTGGACACTGACTTGTCACTAAGACCAGAATCTCAAAACTGCTTTATCTCTAGATAAAAACCAGAAATAAGTTAGAAAAATTAGAAAATTAAAAATTAGGGATAAAAGCCAAACACATTTCATCAAAGGGAAGAAAAAAGTAGATGGTTATGACTGAATGTTTCAAATTGTTGTCCAAAGGGAGCTAAGAAACCACTGAGAAGGGCAGCACTGACTATATAACTAACTTGGGATCTGATTGTAACTGAGTATTCTCTTAAGTTTCCTGGGAATTGAGGCAAAACGAGAAGAGCAACAGGAGCTCATGTTCCATGAGAAAAAAGCCAACCAGTCTAAAGGGAAACCCTCCCTGATCACCAAACATGGCTCCACCTGCATGGGACATTATGTGAGGTCTCTTCCACTGCAGCTCTGTGAATGACGGAAGAACATTCCTCTAGGTGTCACTGAAAGGCAACTCAGGATGGAGGCCACAGACATGACCACCTACCACAGGTTCCTTGAAGTGTTTACACAGGAGCCAGAGATGGAAACTGGGAGACACAGGTGAAAGGACACACAGCACAGTCCTGGGACTGGCTACCCCCAAGAGTGGGTCCACCAGCCACGGTGTCAAGTCATGGGGCTGGCTCCAGGAGGTGGCATCTGAGGGTGTGAGGCATGGACTCCTGGTGGAGCTGACTGAAGGGGTGCTGGGGTGCTGATGCTGCCATGGTACCAAGGCTCAAATGGAAGGCTATCCCAAAAAGTGCTGCCAGTGTGGACCAGGCCCACAGTGCTCCCAAGAAAGCTGTGCATCTTTCCAGGGATATACCTGGGACTTGTGAGCTTGGCCACATCAGGTCAGAGCATCAAGAGACGATCTGATCCTGAGAATGTGAGGGCAGGGTGTCCCCTTGGCCACTCGAGGGTAAGGGAGCGTCCCATTTGTAATCAAACCTTCTCCTGATAGGTAAAGGAGGGTGAGTCAGCTGTATAATCAAGCCCCAGCAGCTGCAGTATTAACTTGCTGGAGTTATTCTGATTTTGTTCGGCTAACCACAATTCTTTCCATGTTAGCTGTTAACATGGAACTGTTCTCAATGCCTTCTACTTCTTAAGGTTAAAAAAGCCCAGCTCACCACTGAGGACTGCTCATCTCACAACTAGACAGGACAAGCGAGCAGGAACCAGTTCACCTATAAGGTGATTCAACACTAAGTCAGTAAGAAGCAGGTCTGGAAAATACCACTGAGAACTGGCCCGTGCTCTCAAGTGGCAGATGTCAAGGGGGCCAGGGCTCTGGTCCTCACAGCTGGACAAGCACCCACACCCCCGGCTATTCAGTGTGTGAGCCCGAGGGCCAGTCGACCTCACAAGCTTATAATCTGTGCCCGCACAAATATACTCCAAGGCTCTTAAACCAACAGTTCCATTGTCACAAAAGACTAAGAAAGAAAAGCATACCCAGGTAGTCATTCCCCGTGAAGAAAAGCGGGCAATGTTATCTTCAAAGTCAATGCCACCTACTCCAATCACATCCATTTGATCAGCAGGGTTATTCAGAGTGCTAAATTGAGACACAAAAAAATAAGGGACAAGAAATAATTGAAAATGAATAATTCAAATAAGGGCAAATACTCCCAGAAAAGTTGAAGGCTTTAGGAGGTTCTTCGGTGAGATGTGTGCACCGTCCTGTAAAAGGCCATGTTCCCTGCCTCCTGCGTGCTGTGCTCAGATCACACCCTCTCACCTGGACCGTCCCTCCTTTATTTCCCTCCCTGTCTACTTACCACACATGGGTCCTGCTCAAGGCTCACCTTTTCCCTTACTACGCTGAGCTTTAAGAATCTTTGCAAGATCCTTCAACTTGAGCCTCAAAAGGCTTGCCACTGTAACAATCCCCCACCTAACTACATGTTCGCAATCACTTTCAGACTGCTGCTAATATATTCACCTTGCCTTCCCCTAGAACAGACACTTCTCTGGGAAGAAACCACACCCACACATCTGCATCCACCACAGTCAGAAGGCTCAGCGTTCAGGGGGCCTTCTGTAGTGTCATGCCACCTTCTTCGTGGGGAACTGTGGGAACGACTACCATTACTCTGCAACCCTGAGCTCCTTGGAGGAGGCCATGGACATAAGAAAGAAGCCAGTACTTCTCTTCAATACCTCAAGTGCACCAGAGCTACAGAGAAACCACAGTGAAACCACTCATGACAAGCATGTTTAGACTAGAAAGTCAACATGAAGTTGAGCTACTTGAAAGTATAAGACAATCAGCTATAAAACTGTATATCTAAGCTTTATCCATCATGGCTCTGCTACCAAAAAAATGAACTCTGACAACTCAACAACTATTACTGCTTCCAAGTGACTTCAGAGACACTAGTAGCAACAGTTCTAGAACACATATTCTTTGTTTTTCGAGTCAGAGTCTCACTCTGTCACCCAGGCTGGAGTGCAGTGGCATACTCATGGCAACTACAGCCTCAACCTGCTGGGCTCAGGTGACCCTTCCACCTCAGCCTTCCAAGTATCTGGAATTACAGACATGCACCACCACACCCGGCTAATTTTTTGATTTACTGTAGAGACGAGGCCTTGCCAGCTTGCCCAGGCTGGTCTCAAACCCCTGAGCTCAGCCAGTCCTCTCACCTCTGCCTCCCAAAGTGCTGGGATTACAGGCATAATAAGCCAACTGCGCCCGGCAGAGTACACGCTCTTAAACCACACTGAGCCAACAGTAGCACTGCCTTCACAGCTCACAGGCTACCAACACACTACCAGGTGGTCACTCACAGGAGCCAATAATGATTTTCCATTGGATGATGTAGACATTTACAAACTCCCATGAACTCAAGGAGCAGAGGTTAGTCCAGAAGTCGCTGGCAGGGCCTCCCAGCAAAGTTAACAAAAAAAAAATTGCCACTTCCCACCCTCTCTCTACCTGACAATTCCTGTAAAACTCGGTGTACTTTAAACCCTTAAAAAATAAGGGAAGGCATCAAGAAGGATGGGCTAGAAATAAAGAAGTTAGTGTTGGTTCTAAGAAGCCAGATGCCCAAGCAGTGACGCCATGCCTGCTGCAGGCTGGGCTGCAGATCACCTGCCACTTCCCATCACTGCAGGAGAAGTGCATAAGGCAACAGGAGTATGCAAACCTGGTGGGGACTGGCACTCCTCAAGACTTTTCTCCCCTAACATACTATAAATTCACAGCTCTTTGATAAGAAGCTATTGAGCACAACTGTCCACAAAAGACACAGGACTTCGGGAGGATGGCTAGTACATAGCAAAGCAGTCAGAACAGCATGTGCAAGAGCTGGTAATCCAGACAGGTATGAGCAGGACCAGCAGCAGGGATGGTGAGGGAGAGCCTGAAACAAGCGTGGTGTCTACAGGAGACGCGAGGAGACCGGGCCTGAGGAGGATGTGCATGGAGTAGTGCAAACAGAGGTGAGCCAGTGGATTCTGGCTCAAGCTGGCAAACTACGGCCCAGGGGCCAAACAAAGCCCACCTGTTTTCACAAATAGCCATGTTGAACACAGTCACACTCACTCATTTACAACACATGACAACGGCAGAGCTGAGTAGCTGCAGCAGAGACCATAGGGCCTATAAAGCCTAAAATATTTACTACCTGGCTCTTCAGAGAAAAAAGGTTGTAATTCCAGGTTGGAATATCAAAGACCTTGAAAACCACGAAGAAAATTCAGATTTGATCTATGAGGCAATAATAACCCACTGTAAATTCCTGAACAGAAACTGCCAGAATATGTGCTTTAACAGTAGAAATACAGAAAAAAGAAGGGAAAGAGAGCAACTGCCACTCACAGAGCACCAGTGTCCATAGTGCTCTAAGTTCTGCTGTCTAAGCTCAACCTCACAGCCAGCATGCAGGCAGGTCACACACCACCCCCATGACAAGTAAAGTTCCCTCAGTCTGTAAGTGGTAGGTTAGACCTGTCTGCCTCCACACCTGGTTCCATCCCTATCCATGCTGCAAGAGCTGAAGTGGGAAGGAGGACAGACCTGGAAACACTGACAACCTGGGGGACTCAACTGATGGGTCTCAGCCTTGAGTGGGGACATCAGAAATCAGAGAAAAATCTGAAAACCTGACAAGATGACTTGGTAATTGGTGTCTGCCATGGTACCACTACAGTTAGCAAATGTTCCTGCCACTTACACCTATGGATGTACCACTGATGCCACACAAAACCCAGACCATGGCACCTCTTACAAAGAGACAGGATCATGGACTCAACTATGAGACTAGGACCTATGACTGCCAACACACATTTTCAGAGCTTTATAAACATCAACCTCACAGATGAGCGTCATACTATGGCCGGGTGCTTGATGTAAGTTCAGCTGATCCTCACAAAAACCTGCTTTCCCACAGCAGGCACTTCTAGGATGTCCCAGAAAGATATAGTGAGTAAGTCACATCACAGACACACACCTACCCATGTGCACCACAGACGGGCACACACAGGCATGAGTGTATACACTCGGCCTCTCTCTCTACTGTTGCGTGGCTCACTGAGCACACACTCTAGACTGCTCTCTTTTTTCTTGGTTGCCTCAAACCCTTTGTCACAGTAGCAAACTGCACAAGGCCTGGGTATCCAAGGAAGGAGGGTGACAAACACCCTCCTACAGAAGCCTTCTAGCACAAGTGCTATCTATAGATAAAACTCAGAGTTGCAGGTAGAAAGAAAACCCATATCTCTGCCAAACAGAAGGTAGCTGGCTGGGAGTCAGTGGTAGATGTTTCACATCTCATGCTGCTTGAATTCACAACAGCTTGGCACAAAGACTCCTGTGTGATACCGTCCTGCTTCTTCCCACCTGATCCCTCCTGTCAACTCCCAAATATCGCCTGTGTCTCTGCCAGACTCCCCCAAGTATGTCCTCCCATGAAGTCATGCTGCAGTATCTGCACTTGGTCTTCCCAGAAAGACAGGGCCCTCATCTACTTACCCCTCCCCCCATATTTTGTACACAGTGGGTCTCACAAATATGCAGATTCCATTTCTCTCGAACAGTCACTTTTCTGTTTTTTGTTTTGTTTTGTTTTGTTTTTTTGAGTTGGAGTCTCACTCTGTCACCCAGACTGGAGTGCAGTGGCTGCTCCCGGCCACTGCAGCTTCGACCTGCTGGGCTCCGGCGATCCTTCCGCCTCAGCCTTCCAAGTAGCTGGAACTACAGGCGCACGCTACCACACCCGGCTAATTTTTGATTTATTGTAGAGATGAGGTCTCGCCAAGTTGCCCAGGCAGGTCTCGAACCCACAGGCTCAGGCAATCTGCTCACCCCAGCCTCCCAAAGGCGCAGGATTACAGGCTGAGCCACCGAGCCCAGCTGGTTTTGAGGATGAAAAGGTAGAATAAAAACTTCAGGCCTCTAAATCACAATTTACAGCAAAGTTTTTTTAAAAATTAAACAGAAAGAAGACTGGCCTGGAGCTGATGCCTGCTAAAGTGAGTGGCCAGTGAATGGCATGGGGCACATTATGTGCCTATTTTTTGTATGAGGAAGACATTCAAAATGTAGTTTCAGACAGAAACAGGTATACATAAACACACAGACAACAATTTTTTGGTTATTTAAGGGCCCCCACCCCAAATCCCTAAGGTCACTTCTGCTGGGGATACTTACCCGTAAAGAGGTCCGTCATTGCCAATAGCAGAAACCATGATGACATTGTTAGCTGTCAATTCCCACACCTACAAAAGTAGCAAGCACTTTAATGAAAGTATACCACTTTTAAACAGTCGGTATATAATAGCCAAGAAAGTATTACAACATTTAAAAACAGCCCTAAAAAAAAAACACCCTCAAAATGTAGCACTGGACCATACAGAGGTGGCTGTGTCAGGTAACTAACAACTTTAGACAACAACTAGGAGTGCACAGAGCAGACACTACCTTTCTAGTCATTTTCAGGAAAACATGGCATTGATATACTTAGGTAAGACAGGATCAACGAGGCACTGTGTACTTCTCATCAACACCTACTTCCGAGGCTTCTAACTCGCTGGATTTATGACATGCAAGTCATTAGAGTTCACAGCGTTAACCATCTGTCCTTACAAAGCTGTCAGCACCTGGACGAAAAGCCACCAGCACACTAGAAATGATGCAAAGCCAGGTTGCCAAAGAGCAGGAGCCATCATCCAACCACTGTGTGCGGTGATTCAACCCACCTTATCAACAAAGGGGTGATCCATGAAGTCAGGACCACCGATGCTGAGGTTCAATACATCAATCTTCTTTAAGATGGCATAGTTGAAGGCATCCAAAAACCAAGATGTGTACGATACCTAAATTGTACAACAGTTCTCTTAGTGCTTCACTGAAAGACTCAAAGAGCTACAGTAGTTTTTATTTCTAAGACTCTCAAAAGCATGAAGTATTTCTCTTAATTTTTTTTAAACTTAAAATCAGAAAGAAATCCCCAATAAAAACAATGCTATGGCACGTAAAACACAATACCCAGAAGTTCCAAGTCTGTGGGGTTGGACTCAAGAAAGAGAGGGCTGTTTCCGCAGGGTCTCTCTCTAGGAGTTACACAGCTCGTGGCTTACAGCTTGCCCTCCTGATCAAGCCCAAACTTCAAACCTGCCCCTCTTACCAAAGGACTGATCCCTGGACACTTCTGTTCAGCACTTCGAACAAGTCCACTGGACTCGTCAAATATCCTCAATCCTGAGTGGGCTGAAGGACTCACAGCAGCAGGGACAGTTACCCCCACAGCATCCATTCTCTGGTGCTCAATCCCACCCACTTTCCTTAGGAAGTTAAGTGGTCAATCACCTCTAGTTGGTTTTTTGGTTTTATACAAAATTAAGCTTACAGTGGAAAGAGGAGAAACATCATGATTAAGAGTTATGTTTTTGGCTAGGCTCAGTGGCTCAGTCTGTAATCCCAGTACTTTGGGAGGCCGAGGCGAGTGGGTTGCCTGAGTCCATGGGTTTGAGACCCACCCGGGCAACTTGGCGAGACCTCATCTCTACAATAAATCAAAAATTAGCCAGATGTGGTAGCGCACCCTGTAGTTCCGGCTACTTAGAAGGCTGAGGCGGAAGGATCGCCGGGGCCGAGCAGGTTGAGGCTGTGGTGGCCGGGAGCGACCACTGCACTCCAGTCTGGGCGACAGAGTAAGACTTCAATTTTTTTAAAAAAAGTTATGTTTTTAAGAGGTCTTCACAAGTAAGACCACATATTTCTATCTGCTTGTATAAGGAATTCTAGGAGGCAGTGTATGAAAGGAAAACTATCAGCAAGCAGGCAGAGTATACGGGGCCGAGGCTGGGGGACACCTCGCTGTGTGGCCCTCTGACACCTCTGAGTGAAGCATTATCTACTCAAAAATTCACTTTAAAAAATAAATACCAGAACCTCTCCTTTTCTAAGACAGTTTCCAAATGAAGAGTGAGGGGACAAAGTCCGTAAATTCACAATGCCAGGTACGGGACACAGGGGTAAATAAAACAGCCTCTACCCTGAAGGTGCTGGAAATCACACTGGGAGGCAGATGCACACACTCACAGTCATTCCACTATGCAGACATAGGACATGGGGCACACAGAGCCCAGGCAAGCCAGAAGGTACAGAAAAAGCAGAAGAAACAAGGGACTGCCATACGTAGTAGCCCTGGCGCAGGGCCTTCAGTGTCCAGACCAGGCTGTTGAAGAGACAGTGGGAAAAGGGCAAAGACACATGGAAGGTAGAAGGACATGGCGAGCTGGTACAGATCCATGGGCAGCAGAAGGAGCTTAGCATCACAGATAGGGGCTGCTTCTAAACAGGTGTGGATAGTCCAGCGCTTTTACTCTTTACATTTCAGTATCAACTCCTGAAAAGTTTCAGGGTCTTCAAAACACCTACCTGATTATTGGTGAAAACCCTGAAAATATGAAGCTCTGCATCTGGAGCAAATCCTTGGCACTCCCTCATACTGGCTATCACACCTGCCACAAATGTGCCATGGCCCAGTCCTGTTGCCCATAAGGAAAAAAATATCGTTAGACACAATTGACAGCATGTGCCCTGATGCAGCGTTCCAACCATCACTTCCACAGACTTATCCCCCCAGCGCTGGGCAGGGAATCTGTGAGGCCATGGGAGTCTCTCCACTCAGCAGTCATCCAGCATGAGTGCCACTTCCAGGCCTAGCCACTCCTGCTCTCTTCCAGATGGGGGGATGTTCCTCTACCAGGCAACCTCCCCTTCTACTCCAGTTCCCAACATTCTCTGAGATATTCAGGAAAGTTTCTGCTATTGCAAGGGTACAGTAACATTGGGTTTGTCAGATTAACTGTTGGACAGACTGTGGAATCACTAGTACATGGAAAAGTAGGTTCTCAACCGACCCAACAGAGAGGATGGGAATGAGAGCCCATGTCCACATGCTCACTGCCATGCTGAGACCTACCGTCGTCCAGCGTTCGCTCGTTGGTCCAGTTGGTTCTCTCCTTCACATTTTTGAAGTGAGGATGCTTCTCACTCAGCCCAGTGTCAAAAACAGCAACTCTTACGTTAGCACCTTGTTCCAAAAAGAAAGCAAGCACAATTGTGTTTGAAGATACCACCTTTTGGACTGCTCAGAGGGAAACAAGGTCAGCTGAGCCGAGGCTAAGAAATGAGGGTAGCAGGAAAAATGCCATCATCTGTTGCTGAACAAGTTTTGAGGATAAACAGAAAACCTCTCTAGACCCTCCTTAGCTGTCCCCAAAGCTCAAGAATGGGCCAGCCCCTCCTCACTCCCTGAGGTCTCCTCCAGGCTGCCAGATGACTGATATCCCCTTCTCAGAATTTCCTCCAAGTCTCCTTTCCCCCATCCCCTTAAGAGGCTCACAAAGCACCCATAAAGCATAGACCTGAGGAGCAAGATGTGGCCAACTTGTCCTGTTTCTGACAAGGACAGCCATTTACTCAACACTTCTCATTTGTAACAATAAACTCTGCAGAGAGGGGTTATTAACACATACATACAAGGTTAATCATGTTTTAGGAAAAAAATCACTATAATATGTACTTTTCTATAATGATGAGTCTATTTCAGAAACCAGTCAAAAGCCATTTGCACCAATGTGAAATGCAACTGGCCTATTGGACCAAGAAATTCTAGAAATCATCTAGAAAAAATTACAAAATACCATTATTTCACAGCTAACTAACACAAAAAGGGTAATGTCTTTCTGACATGAGAGTTGTTTACATATCAATACTATGTTAAATAATCAGTTATACTACCTATCAAGATTGCTGCTACTTTTAAAACTTGCACACATAAAATTGAAAACCATTTGATTTTGGAAGAGTAACAAAAGATTTCTGATTATTAGAAAATGTGTTTTGTGAAGAAGTTCTCACTCTAAAAAGATAAAATCAAGAGGAGACTAACACCTTAATAAAACGTCAGTCCACTAGGCATTGAAGCTGAAGAATCTCGGACACTTTGAAGGGCAGAAGCTAAGGAGATCACAGGGGAGGAACAGGTCTCTAAGTCAAGGATACAGGAGAGAAGCCTTAACAAACTGTGATGTGCTGAGGGCAATGGAAACTGGCTTTCATTAAAAATCAGGGGGAAATCTTCAATTAGTTAAAACAGGAATGTTCTGCCATGATGAATCAATAAGGTAAAAAAACCATCCTCCTGGTTGTGAGTTTTACTGCACAGGATATGGTCATCAATATCATTTCCTGTTCTTCATCATTCTGCACATAGAGCACTAAACGCAAGGAATAAACTAACTTTCAAGAATATGCCCAAAGCCAAGTGACCATCTGTGAAAGTGACTTCTTTCCCTGAGAAGTTACAGAACTTTGCAGACTGCCAGTCAGCTCAGTCTGTGGGCATTGCTGTGTCTGTGTTGACAGGAGAGGAATGCACCACAATCTGCCCTTCACACAATGGTTAACAAAAATAGGACACAAATGGTGATAATTAGAAAAACCACAGAAACAGGTGCCTGGCATTAACAGGCATCAAAGACAAGGGAAGCTGGCCATATCCAGCTCGACAGCTAATAGGCAGGCTCGCTGCATGAGGCCACAGGCTAAGCATGAGGCACTCCCAAAGACGGAGTCCCCAGACACCAGGCATCACGCTGCTCCCCGGTTCCCAGCACACACCTGTATAGCCCATCTGCCACAGCACGTCTGCCTGCAGGGTCTGGGCAACCTGGCGTGGAATGGCTCTCAGCAGCCGTCTACTTGAATGCCTTCCTGTAGCATGCCAAAAGCCGGAGCCCAGGGAGAGACTAGCTCTTCGCAGGGGACGTGATGACTGCCACTTCTGGCTCCACCGGGTTTCATTGCAGGGCACTATAGGGTCAGCTGGGTAAGGAAAAGAAACGTCAGAAGAGGTAAAGCAAACACAATACCTGTCAGGCAAAACAATCATTCTAAACGCAGATGTTACCTTTTGAAATCCTGTTTGAAGGAAATTGGGGTTTGCTTCCTTTTCTAGAAGATTTTCTCAATGCAATTATAATTATAGGATATTATTCGCTGGGCTCAGTGGTTCAGCCTGTAATCCCACGCCTTGGGAGGCCGAGGTGAGTGGATTACCTGAGCAAGACCCGCCTGGGCAGGCGAAACACCTCATCTCTACAATAAATCAAAAAATTAGCCAGGCGTAGTAGCGCGCGCCTGTAGTTCCAGCTACTTGGAAGGTTGAGGCGGAAGGATCGCTGGAGCCCAGCAGGTCGAGGCTGCGGTGGCTGGGAGCGGCCACTGCACTCCAGTCTGGGCAACAGAGTGAGACTCCAACTCAAAAATAAACAAATAAATAAAGCAAACTGCTGCAATACTACAGGAAAACCTGGCTTTTCATCAACAACTTGTTCTCACTGAATCAGAAGGGGGAAAAATGTTGAAGAAAATGGCCGCTGACCAATCATGAGGTTATAGTTTTACTCAACATGTTACCAGATTTCTGGGACAGGAAAAGGCCAAGTTATCCCACTAAATATATCTCTGGCCAAACATCAATAGGCTCTTTTCTAAAACTTAATACTCTTATCTACTAAAATTTCACCTTTCAAAACACAAAAGAACGCAAAGAGTGAAGAACTATCCCATATCTTTATCTTGTAGGTAGATAATTGACTATATACTTTTGCCAAAACTTGCCAAAGTACACTCTAAAAAGGATAAATTTTACTCCCCGTAAATCTCTTCGTTTTTAAAAAATGGAGGAAAAAGCCCCACAAAAATACCACCAGAATGTTCCCTTTACCTTTCAAAGTCCATGATATAATGAAGACCAAATCAGAATTCAAATCAGTTCTAAGAAGAGAAAAATCTATAATACTATGCAGTTCTGTTTCTAAATCAAATTATGATAATTTTTATTCCAGTCCTACCAGGCTACACCCATAAAAGCATAGGGGTCTGGAAAAATACACAGTCATGTCAATCCCAGTAAGTAATTATTTGCACAGTCGAACTGAAATCATCCGTATTGGAATTCCTGTGTTGACTCTGATCGCCAAGTCAACAGCACAGGGCAATGCTGGAGTTACAAATCGATGAACAACATTTAGAACAGGAAAGGGGTCTATTCTGCTTTATCTTGAACATATTCAGTTCAGGGTTTCATGGTTTAAAAACAATTCAGAAAAACTGTAGTGTATTCACAGGAAAACACTTTAAATGATGAGGGGACTTGAAATTGTGTCATCTGAAAAACTGATGAAGAACTGAGGATTATTAGCTTGGAGAGAAGAAACTGCCAAAAGAGACACCATGGATATCTTCAAATAACAGGACAGACATCTGGATAATTATCCTTAAATACCATCTTGTGAATAAGTTAGCTCTGTCTTTTAGCCCATGGGATAGAACCAAATGGATGGAACCCAGAGTGAGACAGGTTTCAGGCCCGAATAAACCAAACCTTTTACCAACACGAGCCATAGAAATAACTGACACTTTGTCACTTATAACGTCCTGAACACTTTGCCAAACTCTCTTCACATGCATTATTTCATATTACTTCATGAGAACTCTGCGAGGTAGGCAGCATTATCACCATTTCACTAAAGAGAAAAAATGAAGAAGCTTAAAGAAGCAGTTTACTGCTCAAGGTCATGGCTAACTTTTAAGAATGGGCAAGTAGCTAGGTGTGGTGGCTCAACCCTGTAATCCCAGAACTTTGGGAGGCAGAGATTAAGAAGACTGCCTGAGTCCAGGGGCTCAAGACCAGCCTAGGCAACTTGACGAGACCTCGTCTCTACAATAAATCAAACAAATTAGCTGGGCATGGTGGCGCATGCCTGTGGTTCCAACTACTTGGAAGGCTGAGGCCCAGCAGGTCGAGGCTGTGGCAGCTATGAGTGTGCCACTGCACTCCAGCCTGGCCAAGAGAGTAAGACTCCTACTTAAAAAAAATAAAATAAAAAGATGGGCATGTCAGTAGGTAGTTATCTCCTTCAAGGGTGTCAGTCAAAGCCCTTGACAAATGTGGTGGAGATGCTGTCAAAGGGAAACCTCCCCTGCAGGACAGATTGTAATTCTAGTGCTAAAATGAGGGATATCCACATCTTCTAAAGCATTCTAAAGCATCCCAGAACTTTTAAGATAAATGAAATTAAATAAAACAAAAATAAAGTCAAGTAAAATGGCACAACATATCACTGAGCTAATTATACCAGCTCTGATTAGCTTTTATTTTCCTGGATCACTTTGGGGTGTTATTGCTTTTTTAGGAGAAAAATAACACAAAACATCTGGACTATCAGAAAAAGTTCTTCAATCACACGCCTGAGTCTACAGCTGATGCAAGAACTGGCCTGTCCTACAATGCTGTGCTATGCAAATTAGTTAAACTTTTCGGAGGGGGGGGGAAAAAATAAAAAAGAAGTCTCAAAGGATCCCAGGCCTAGTACATGACAGACAAAGGAGGAAGAGTAGAACTATTTCGCCTTTCTTCCAATGAAAGGAATGATATTAAACAACAGAAGAACTATTAACTTGTTCATCTGATTTATGATAAATAGAAAAAAACCCCAAGCTGGGCACAGTGGCTCCTGCCTATAATCCCAGCACTTTGGGAGGTGGAGGCAGAGGATTGCTTGAGTCCAAGAGTTCGAGACCAGCCTGGTAAACTTGGTGAGACTTCATCTCTAAAATAAATCAAAAAATTATCTGAACATAGTGGTGAACACCTGTAGTTCCAGCTACTTGGAAGGCTAAGGGAGGCCGTGAGCATGCCACTGCACTCCAGCCTGGGCGACAGAGTGAGACTCCAACTCAAAAAAAAAGAAAGGAAAAAAATCTTCCTCCAGTAATACATATGCTTTGGAAAACATCATGTAATAAATATGTGATTTATTATTTGAGGATGAACTTGACAAATCCAATTGTAATGAAAAGGAAAGATAAGCCCTGCTAAAGAAGAAAACGAAAAAAATCAAATTCCTTCCATCCTTATCCTTCATCCTGCACAGCTGATGACTTAAACAAACCCAGCTGAGGCACAGCCAGGAGGATGAGAAAAATGAAACCCAGGGAAAAGATGTTTTGTAAGAGTGCCTTAAAAATAACAACACACAAAAATTAGCCGGGCGTGGTAGCGCACGCCTGTAGTTCCAGCTACTTGGAAGGCTGAGGTGGAAGGATCGCCGGAGCCCTGCAGGTTGAGGTTGCGGTGGCCGGGAGCGGCCACTGCACTCCAGTCTGGGCGAGAATGAGACTCCAACTCAAAAAAATAAATAAATAAATAACAACACACACCGAGGAAACAAGTTGCAAGTGGGGGAGACACGAAGACAGGGTCTTTCCTGACAGAGTGTGAAGGGGTTACAGATGCTAAGCTTGGAGATGAGCCTGGGTGACTGTCACTTCCAACAGAAATAGAGATGGCTACCAGCCTGGACTGCAAACCCTAAGATTTTCTTCTGCCAGAACAGCATAAAGCCTCTTTTAAAAAAAATAAGAGAATTCTTGCCAGGACAAGTGTTCACTGTATTATTTTTCAACTATTCCAGAGTTTGAAAATTTCAGTGAAACTGAAGTGATATGAATTTGCCTGAGATCACAATACTCACACTCGGCATACTTGAGAGAACGAAAGACTTTCCGTTGGGGTGTGACCCGTTTGATGTTTGGATGATCTTCAAGTGTTAGCAGCCCAGCTTTCTGTTTTTCTTTGATCTGAATAACCTCAAAATCACTAGGGTAGTCGCTGGATGGATTGTTTCGAGGGATAATTCTCCAATTGTCCACTTCACTGCTCTTCAGGGCACTTGAAATAAATGAATTTCTAGCTTTGGCTGTAAAGTATCCATTGAAAGCCACAATATATTCTGAAATCAATGACCACAAACAGAAATAAAAATTTATGTACATATATTATAATGTAGACTATGTATGCTAAAATCTGGTAAAAGAAAAACCATGTATCTTAAAGCCCACAGTAAAAAAAAAAAACACCAGCAAAAGCCAAAGACTGGCTTAAATGCCTACAGAGCTGTTTGCAGAACACTGATTGAAAATGATCTACATGAATCCCCTAATCACATAAAATACATACATCATTCAACACCAGTTAACTGTGATAATTTTTAAAAAGGCAAATACATATAGATGCTTGAATATGCTGCAAAGAAGTGCATACAATTTTTTCAATAGGAAAAAGGAATTCAGGAAAGTGAATGCTTTGTTTTATTTCAATAAAAAGAATAATAAAATTCCAAGATGGAACATATGAGACCGTTGCTTAGTTTTTTTCACACCTGATCACTTGAACTTCAGAACATACACGGGCAACTCTCTTGGGTCCCCTCCCACTGTGGGAGCTTATCTGTCCTCTCAATAAATCCTGCTTTCTTAAAGAAAATAAAAACAAAAAAAACCACACACATTCAGCACCTCTGAACTCCCACTCTCACCAGCAACAATGGCATCTGTTCCAGGGAATCAAGTTGTCAGTGAATAATAAAGAAAGTCAATTTCCTTGTTGTACATGAGCTACCTCTACTAGGAAAACAAACTTAAGCAAAGTTAATATCCACGTGCTGTGCACTCAAGGCATTTGAAATTTACTACAAAAAAAAGGCAATTGCTAACGTGTTCTTTGGCAATTGCTAATGTTTGTATTAAGTAGGTTTGAAAAAAATAGGGTAGGAGGTCCTAACATTTAAGACAGTCTCATTACCATATTCCACAACTGCTGAGGAGAATTCCACCTTCAAAGTCAGGTGGGGACAGCCAGGGCACGGGGCCTTTTCAAAAGATTTCTTTTCCAGTCTGTCACCCAGATGTTTCTTCCCACAGAGCAAAACCACTAGCAGAAGCAGCCAGATGTTGACAAGCTTCATGGTCATAAGTGAATATGGTCATAAAATTGCATAAATTCAAATCACACTTTTTTCTTCCTTGATTAGAAGTGAATTTTTGTTTCGGCTAAAAGCTGCAACATTACTGATCAGCTGCCTTACAGTCTTGTCCAACGTAAATCAAAGTCAAATCCCATGGCCTTCCGTGGAGTGGCCTGAAGAGAGGCTCTCATTTCTTTCTCCGCTTCTTCTCCATCTTGGATACAAAGCTTCTCTCTCTCGGGTCGAGATGACTGAGGTCTGTACTCCATTGGTGCCACAGAAGCAAAGTCCAACAGAGCAGATTAATCAATCACTCTGGGAGCCAATCTACAGGGAAACAAGAAACAGCACACATAGACATTAGCAGCACACAGATACAATCAGGATAAATTTAATTATACCCATTTACCATTTAAATAAGAGGATCAGTCAAACAAGGTGGCTCATGCCTGTAGTCCAAGCTACACTGGAGGCTGAGGCAGGAGGACAGCTTAAGCCCAGGAGTTTGAGTCCAGCCTGCACAACATCGTGAAACTATGTCTCTAAAAAAATAATAATAGAGAGTAAAAAACATCCAAGTTAAAGACAAATAAATGTGTGATACAACCATGAAACCTAGTGTATCATTTTTATTTACTCATTCTTCATAGCTTTCAGGGGGAAAAAGTTTTAAGGCATCTTCAAAAATAAAAAAGGATAAAATAAATGAGAAAATATTTTTTAAAAACTGAAGATAACAGAGTAACACCAAGAATATTATTAAGCACATCGCCCCTGAGCATCCCAGCAGCCAAAGAAGGAACCATAGTGCTTTGCTTATGAGCCTTTTCTCTGCTTCTGTTTCAGATTCTGTGTTTTCCCATCATTTGCAACTTTCCATTGCCAGGGCATTTCCCCAGTCGGCACTTTCATTTCCCACAAATCTCACTAATTTTTCAGACAAAAGCTTGGTATATACATCCTTACTTTCTGCTGTAAAATAAATACCTAAAAGCAAGTAATTTCCATACAAGCAATATATAACCCCTTCTTTAAGAGACACTGTGCGTTACTTCTGCACAGCAAAAAAAAAACCATCAAGAGCGTGGGGAGACAAGCTACAGAATTAGAAAAAAATATTTGCTAATTATGTATCTGACAAAGGCCTAACATCCAGGATCTACAAGGAACTCAAACAAGCCAAAAGGAAAAAAAAAAACAAAACCCAATTACAAAGTGGGCAAAAGATATGAATAGACACTTCTCAAGAGAAGACATATGAGCAGTCAATAGTCACATGAAAAAATGCTCAGCCTCACTACTCATGAGAGAAATGCAAATTAAAACCACACTGAGTGTGGCGATTCCTGAAAGCTCTAAATATCGACCTCCCATATGACCCCACAATCCCCCTGCTGGGAATATACCCTGAGTAACTCAAATCACTCTATAAAAAAGATACCTGCACACGTATATTTATCACAGCATTGTTCACAATAGCAAGAACCTGGAATCAACCATGCTGTCCATCCAAAGAGGACTGGATTAAAAAAATGTGGTACATATACACGATGGAATATTACGCAGTCATAAAAAAGAACAAAATCATGAACTTCGCAGCAACCTGGATGGAACTAGAGTCAATAATACTGAGTGATCTCTCACAGAAACAAAGATCTGAGTGTCACATGCTCTCATTCATCTAGTGATCCTTGAACAGCCATCATAACACTATAAGAAAAGGACTGACAGTGGTAGGAAACTATGGGGGGGGTAGGGAGGTGGGATTAATGGTAGTCAATATCTGTCTGGGGATGGGGAGGTACCCCTTATCAACAAGGGTGCCTGAACGAAGCATATTTGTATACCTAACCCTTAACTGTACCCCACAATATCAAAATAAAAAATATTGGGAAAAAAAAAACACACTGAGGTACCACCTAACTCTAGTGAGGTCATCATTAATAAATCAGAAAACAAGAGACGCTGGTGAGGATATGGGGAAAAGGGATGGCTTCTACACTGTTGATAAGAGCTCAAATTAAAATTAGTCCAACCACTATGGAAAACAGCGGGGCAATTTTTGTTTTTTTAGTTTTTTAGTTGAAGTCTCACTCTGGCACCCAGGCTGGAGTGCAGTGGCACGCTCATGGCCACCCCAGCATCAACTTGCTGGGCTCAGATGATCCTTCCGCCTCAGCTTTCCAAGTAGCTGAAACTACAGGCATGCGCTATCACGCCTGGCTAATTTTTTTTTTTTTTAATTATTGTAGAGATGCGGTCTTGCCAAGTTGCCCACGCTGTTCTTGAACACATGGGCTCAGGTAATCACCTCACCTCGGCCTCCCAAAGTGCTAGGATTACAGACTTAAGGCAATTTTTAAAAGAACTAGAAACTGACCTTCCATACATTTCAGTCATCCCCTTTCTGGGAATATACCCAGAGGAACTTAAATCGTTTTACAAAAAGATACCTGCACACATGTTTATTGCCATGCTATTCACCACAGCAAAAACATGGAACCAACCCTGCTGTACATCGAAAGCAGACTGGATAAAGAAAATGTGGTCCATATACACAATGGAATATTACGCAGTCATAAAGGACAAAATTATGTACTTCGCATAAAACTGGATGGATTTAGAGTCCATCATACTTGGTGATTTATGACAGAAACAAGTGAATACCACATGTTCTCACTCATAAGTGGGTCCTGAACACTTAACACAATGCTACAAGAGGGGGATCGGCAGTTGTGGGACACTGCCGGGGGTGGGGGAAGGGCGTGTGATATCACAAAGGATACCTGATCCTCAACCAATGGAAGTGAAGACCAGATGGAGGCCCAAACTTCACCTACATGTAGATTACTCATGTACCTAATCCTGACTTGTATCCCACATCTGAATAATAAAATAAGGAGAAAAAAAAAGAGACATTGTGCTTTACACTCATATTTTGAAATATTTTGTCAATTCTACGAAAAGAGCATAGAAGAAAAGTTTTTATTGTCATTAAGTTTATTTTACTTGAAGACTCAAACTCAGAGAAATTTTTTTTTTTTTTTTTTTTT